ATTTGAGGGGCAGCCAATTTCGGCACTTGTGATGACTATATCTTTGCCACTATTCATCCGATTGTAGAGCGGGATACCTTAAACGATTTCTAGATCGATTCTCCACCAATCTGCATCAAAACATTGAAACAAATTTTCATTTTCATTTTTTCGAAATTTTTCCCATGGATCCCCTTCAAAAATCGCGAAATTTGAGGGGCAGCCAATTTCGGCACTTGTGATGACTATATCTTTGTCTCTATTCATCCGATTGTAAAGCGGGATACCTTAAACGATTTCTAGATCGATTTTGCACCAATCTGCATCAAAACATTGGAACTTATTTTCATTTTCATTTTTTTGAAATTTTTTCCATGATACCCCTTCAAAAATCGCGAAATTTGAAGGGCACCCAATTTTTGCACTTGTGATGACTATATCTTTGTTATTATTCATCCGATTGTAGAGCGGGATACCTTAAACGATTTCTAGATCGATTCTCCACCAATCTGCATCAAAACATTGAAACAAATTTTCATTTTCATTTTTTCGAAATTTTTCCCATGGATCCCCTTCAAAAATCGCGAAATTTGAGGGGCAGCCAATTTCGGCACTTGTGATGACTATATCTTTGTCACTATTCATCCGATTGTAAAGCGGGATACCTTAAACGATTTCTAGATCGATTCTCCACCAATCTGCATCAAAACATTGAAACAAATTTTCATTTTCATTTTTTCGAAATTTTTCCCATGGATCCCCTTCAAAAACCGCGAAATTTGAGGGGCAGCCAATTTCGGCACTTGTGATGACTATATCTTTGCCACTATTCATCCGATTGTAAAGCGGGATACCTTAAACGATTTCTAGATCGATTTTGCACCAATCTGCATCAAAACATTGGAACAAATTTTCATTTTCATTTTTTCGAAATTTTTTGCCCCTTCAAAAATCGCAAAATTAAAATTTTTAAACCTTAAACCTAACCCTACCCATTAAAATGTTATGTAAATATTTCCTGATCGTCGTGAATGAAATTCCCGCAAATTAGAGTCTAGGACGCCAAAGGACAATATCCAAGGAAGAAAAGCACTCAGAACAAGGACGACGACGACGACAAAGCAATTAAGAATGAAGCAGTGAGCAGTGGGGAATGGAAGCAAAGGAAGAGAATCAGTTTCGTATTTTCCTACCATTTTTTTTTGTTCTTTTTAGGCCCAAATGTTGCTTGGCCCGGCTTATTGGCTCAGTTGGTGGCAGTGGTAGTAGGGAGGCGGAGGTGTTGGCGGTTGGACTACCCTAGTTACAACCGGATCTCCTACGGATTCCTGTCCATTCCTTCGTCCATCCATCCATCTCAATTTACTGCGTGAGACTTTTGTCAACGCACAGTGAGAAAATGAATGCCAGAAATTGCACAGCCTTGCCAACGCAACCAAAAAAAAAACCAAAGGACGAGAGTAGGAGAACACAGTAATATCCTTGGGGGGAGAAAGCTAGGGTGGGCCATGGAAAGTGAAGAAAAATTAGGAGTAAGAGACAAGGCGACAACGAACAGGCAGGAGATATAAGACAAAGGACACTGTAAAAAATTGGATGCAATTTTCATAGTCTTTTATACATACATATGCATATATATATATTAATAACTAATAGTTATATTAAATATTTTTCTAATATTTTTCATTTTTGTAATAAATATTTCATATCTCTCTCACCCTTTTCTCAGTGTATAAAAACTAGTAGCCAAATGCAATGTAACACACTGAAAAAAAAAGTAAAATCTCTACCAAAAAAAAATGAAATTTATGCGGGTCTCCTGATTTCTCACTCCTTCCTGTGACTTTCTCTGGCCTTCTCCTTTTCTCCTGTTGATGGCTGAGGCCACAACAAATGTGGGCGGCATGGAGGCCATACTGTGTCCGTGTGTCCGTTTGTCCGGTTGTCCGTGTGTTTGGGCAAACATAAACAACAGTTACGCTCGAACAACGGGCAAAGTTGCATTTCCGCTGTAACCGTTTTCCGTACGGGAAATGCGTTCGACGCGTGTTTGAAATATTGGGCCCGAAAGTCTCTTGCTTTTTCCTGGATTCCAGATTGCCCGAATCCCAATTCCAGCCTCCTGTGACCTCTCTGCTGCTGCCACTTTTGCGGTCTACGGCCGGGCCGCTGGCAATACGGATTTCGCTTCTGGTTCGGCAAAAATGGAGAATCCTGCCAAGCGCCTCTCCGGCTCCGATTTTCATCTCATTTGAGCGAACATTTAATGTTCGCAGGCTTCACGGCGACCAGTTCGCTTGACCATCTGCTACTACGGGAGGAAATGATTCTTAATCCGCCGTAGCCACCATCGCTGCCTATCCTACCCCCTGCTGTCCTTCGCTTGTGGGCTTTTTCAAAAGGGGTGGTGGGTGGACGGATTTTCCGCAAACAGCTTTGTTGCTGAATCGCAAATCATGCGTAATGGAATTGAAGTCACGAAAATTGTTTACTGATTTTCGCGATTGATTTAAAAAACGCAGTCAACAGTACGCTCCAACAAGTCACAAAGTAAAGAATATGTCAGGGAATATTTTTTAATTAAATGAATAGTAATATAAATAGAGGGATAAACAAAAAATTATTATGGAAAAAGTTATTGTTATTTCAAGTTATTTCTATATTTTTTACCAATATCTAAGTAATTAAATGATATATTTAGTCAGTTAATTAAAGATATGTTGCTTTCTATTAAATATAATAGTTTATAGTCGTTTAAAAAATATACAAATATTAGATAAATTATAAATAATACCCAAAATATATAGAATATATTTGTTTTCATCCAAATTATAGGCTTTAAAGTGAAGATGTTAGGGTTCTTGTAGCTAATCTTTAAAAAAACAGAACTCATTTTAACAAATATTTCAACAAAATTTCAATATTATAGAAGTTCTATAAAATCTATAAAAGAATAAGTAATAAGAGCAACATGAAAAATGCCTATATTAAAGTCAAAAGGCCTATTAATTTCTCTTAAAACAAACTATCCTGCTTTAGTGTACCCATATCTCAGCTATGAATATAAGTGTGCCCTTTCTTAGAAAAAATTCTAAAAAGCTTAACAAAATTTTAAGAAAAAAGAAAAAGATTGAAAACTAAAAAAACGTATGAAATAGACAAGCTACCAATTAAAACGTTCTTACCAGTTTCTTTCATGGAAACAGTCGCCTTCAGGGTGAAATATTTTCCCCACAAAGGAAACTGGCAGCCAATACTCGTTGCATTTCTTTGCCGTTTTTTTTAGCTGGACTTTCTTCTTCTTCTTTGTTTTTTGTTGCGGCCCCTCTGGTAAAGAAAAACATTCCTTGAGCAATTTTCAAAGGACCTCCATACACCCACAATCGATTCACCTTGATTGCCATGGCAATTCGAATCTCGAATCGAAACGAGTCAAGTTTCAACCTATTTTCCGCATATTCGTATTTCCCACCTTTGGCCAATTGCGGTTTGATTCATCGGATGGCCTCTTTGTTTTGGTTTTTTTCTTCTTTTTTTTGGTGTTGTTGTTGTTGTTTTGTTTTTCTCGAGATTGAGATTCATCTGTTTGGATGGTGTCCGAGGCAGCCACGCCTCCACAACAACACCTCCCACGGCCACACGGCAACACGCCCGGCAACTTTTCGCACCTGGCCACGCCCACTGCATACGAAATGCGCAACACATTGGCACTGCACTTGAACTGAATTGCCTGCTGCTCGTCCTGTTCCTCCTTCATGTTTTTCCAGCTTTTCCGCCTTTTGTTTTGTTTTTCCCCCCCCAACGCTTTTCAAAGCCACTCGACGGCCTTTTGACCGCCTTCTTGGCCAAAAAGGAAGGTGTAGGCAGTTGCCAGTTGGCAGTCGGCAGCATGAGGCAAAAAGAAAAACAAGTCAAGCGCCTTAAAATATGCAGCACATTCTGGCATTTGGCCTCGTGTAGAGCGTCCTTAATTGCCACACCTTCGTCTATTTGACGCCCAGAGGCGGATTTTTCTAGCCTTCGTTTACCTTTCTTTTTGGAAAGACTTTTTTTGAAACTACAAAATTTTTAAAGTCTATAGGGGAATTGGATTTTTATTTTCCTAAAATGATAAAAAATAAAAAAAACATAAATTAATAAAAATTTAAGAAGGCCCTTCTCCACGCTTCTCATAGAAAGCACTTAGGCGAGAGCACTATTCTTTTTCAAAAGCTATCCTATGAACTTTCTTTGTTTTTTTTTTTTTTAACTTTATATGTAGCTTATATATTCCTATTTTGTTAAAAAAAAAAGAACATTTCAAGGCCAATAGATATCGAAAGATACCTTAATTGTTAACCAATTTAATGACGCATCGGAATGAAAACTAAACAAATTCCATGCTCCCGTGAATTTCAATCAAAACGAACTCCAATCGAGGTTGATGGTTTCTAAGCGGCTTAGGCTTTTGGCCAACAAAACCGCCCTACCACCTCCACCCCCTTCAAGATAGAAACCCTCCAAATAGACAAGCACACAAACAATCCATGAGGAGGAAGGTTTTTGGAAGGAAAAGCGATTAATTTCGAGTAATTGCAACTTAATGAAAGGCATTCAATTGCGCAAATTAATGGGAATGTCTTCAGCATACTGATGCTCGAAAGACGATTCGAAATTTTGCAGACATGTGTGCTTTAGTGCCTGTTAATTAATGCCCTGAGATGAGATCCACTCAGCCACTTTATTTAGACCAAAATCAGCAAAAGGCCAATACACTAAGGCCCCTTTCTGAATTCAAATAACATGGCCGATGGATTTCTTGGCCAACGATGCGGAATTTCAAATCGGATTGTCGGTTTACTTTGTGGAGGGAATGGAGTGACTTGAAAAGGTATTAATATTAATACCTTTTATTCTATTAAAAGTATAAATATTTAAATATTAAATATAATCTATATTTTATTAAACTTTTGGGGGAAGAAAATATAATACTTAACTTTAAACTCCTCTAAATAATATATATTTTATTCCATAATTCACAGATTAAACCTCTCAATTGATTGATTGACTGCTTGATAGATTGATTGACTCACTGATTGATTGACTGATTGATTGAAGCAAAAACAAAAATAACAAAAACAGCGACCAAATGCAAGATGAATCCGGATCAATCGATGTCAATGCAAACTGGCGCCCAACCGCCCCCGCCGCCACCCTCGCACGCCATTGCCACCGTCTCGGCCGCCGCCTCAGCCACGCCCTCCATTGCCGCTGCCCCGCCCACCGTCTCTGGTGGCAATGTCTACGGCGGCATACCACCCACCTCCTCCACCACCGCCGGCACAGCATCCGCTACCGGCAGCTATGTGTCCATCGGAATCCTGCCCAACCTGCCGCCCGCCCAGCTGCCGCCGCTCCTGCTGCCCGCTCCGCCCTCCTCGACGACCACGTTCAAGACCACGCCCCTGCTGCCCATGCCCACGCTGGAGGACATTGAGGTGGCCAATCAAAATGGCGGTCAAGCCGGACAGGTGGGTCTTGGTTGTTGATCCTCCCATGTTCCTTATTTTATTTACTAATTTTGATTAAATTTTTAATTTTTTATTTGCATTTTTAATGCTAAAAATATAAAAAAAAAATAAAAAATAAATATTTAAAAAAAAAAGTGCCCTCCTCCTCGATTCTCATAGGGAGCACTTAAGCGATGGAATAAATTAAAAAAATAAATCAATAAATACTAAATTAATACTAAATACTAAAAAATACCTAATACTGAAAAAAAAATACCTATTACCAAAAATACTTAATACTGCAAATAAAAATACTTACTACTAACAACAAAAATATACTAAAAAAATACTAAAAAACAAAAACTGGTTTCCTTTTTTTAAAATTAACTATTTTTTAATATAAACTTTAAAAAAATCTTAAAAATTAATAAATTATCCTTATTTTCCGGCCCCTCCCCCAGGTGGTAGTATCCTTGGCGCAACCTTCTTTGCCGCCACCCGGAATTCTCAAGTATCCCAGTTCGGGTTATGTCAGTGATTTGATGGCGCCACCGCAGCCGCTTACCTTGACCCACCCCCACGCCCAGCTGCCACCCCCGCCACCCCTAGCCAATGCCACCGGCTGTAGCAACATTGGCAGCAACAGCAATTGCGGCACTTTGAAGAGCAACGCCAAGCTGTTGCCGTTGCAACTGATGAGCACGACCACGCCACCTGGCCGCAAGGAACCCCTGCCCGCCGCCCATCCGCAGGCAGCCTCCATCCAGGCCCAGGCCCAGGTGCAGGCTCAGTTGCAGCAGCAACACCAACAACAACAGCAACATCAACAACAACAACAGCAGCAGCAACGCAAGCGGAAGGGGTGGTGCGCCTGTTTTGGTTCCGGATCGGGGAGGTCCTCCAATGCGGGTGGTGGCGGGGGCGGTAGTGAGGGCAAGACGCCGCCCGGATACGGAAGCAAGGAGAAGAAGAAGCGCAAGGCCACCACACAGACGGTTTGGTCAGCACTTTTAACCAATTTGGGAATTTGCATGCTGCTCTTGGCCTACACATTGTTGGGTGAGTAATTAATTAACCCAACCCAATGAAAAAATATACTAAATGATGTATATAAAATATTAAAAATATAAAAAATAATTTAGAGATATACAGCATTTTTTTAAAAGAAAAGAAAGTCTCATATTTAAAGAGCTTTAAGTTCAAAATATTAAAGAATCTGCAGCACAAGGCTCCTAATTACTCGTTTATTTTTGTTTCTTTTTTATAAATCTTTATTCCAGTTATTATTTATTTAAATTTAAACATTAAACAGCACTTTAAAACCTCTATATCTTCTCGAATTTAATCAATGAAAGGATTATTGTTAACTGGGCCAAAGGATTGGTGTCATCGATGGGCCCTTTCTGGACTGATCGATATGCCTTGTAAACAGCAAGAGCGTGACAAGCAAACACATATCATTTGTATCCTGCCATTTCATTGTATCCTGCAGCCTGTAGCCTGTATCCTGTATCCTGTATGTTGTATTGTATTATGGCGGCCTCCCTAATTAACGCGGCATCTTCTTTCGGCCACGCGTACAGTTTTTTTTTCACATGTGTGTCGAATACAGATAAAGATATATAGGAGACAGATACAGTTACTGGGCTATATATATGGTGGAGATATACAGTTATACTAAAAGATACGATTACTGCTGAGGACACGAGGCACACGAGGATGCTTAATGTATCTTGTCACAGAGTTCGACGTTTAAATTAACCAACAAACAGGAAGTGGGTGGGAGACCCAAAGCCGCCGTCGCCGCACGACAACGTGATAAATTTAATTAATCATTTGCCACCACCACAGATCCCCCCCTTACATCCCCTCGCCTCAGCAGATGCAAGTCCTAGCCCCGCCCACTTCGCGATGTCAAAAACAAACGTCAAAATGGCGGCCGCATTGCCAAAAACTTATGTTTTACCCTCTGGCAGGATATGTGTGTTGTGTCTGTGTTGGTTTTTTTGGTATGTGTGAGGGCTTACTAAAGATATATCATAGGATACAGTGATCACTAGGCTAGAGGGGCTTTTATAAGAATGTTTTTATAGAGAATTATGTAGAGAACACAGGTCTTTTTAAAAAAGTTTTTAAAATATTTAGAACAATTGAAAGAAATGAGAATTTTTTCCTAAAAAATCTTAATTCTATTTCTTTTATGAAATATGTCTTCAATATATGCAATATTCCATTTTTACCTTTTACCAAGGACTCACTGTACCTGCTCTAGTGTTTACTTAGGCAAAAGTCTAGCATAATTTAGAGCGCCGGCATATTCATGAGCTTGTATGGGCAAAAGGAAAAGGCAATGTCTGACGCGAAATCCATCATATTCGCCATATTCCATTTACTATATATTCCATATACCGTTTTCTCATATTCCGTACTTGGCATATCCCGTTACCGTATCCGTCGCTATGCCACTTTTACGTTTCCGATGCTACAATTCCTGAGGCTGACGGTGACGGCTGCTTTGACAAGAGACACAACACAGCAACATGACGACAAAAAAAAAAAAGACCAACACCACATGTGTGTGTTGTGTGTATGTGTGTATATACTTTAAACAAATCGAAAAATTTGCACTTGTGTGCGTGCGACAGCTGGGCGAAAAAGTTGTCCCTTGTTAGAAGGAAATCATCAAAATGACACAAACAATTATTTAACTTTCGCTAGGCCGTGCGTGAGCTACGTCCCGGTGACGTCACACACAACAACACACATGACAGATGCTTTTCCCTTCCTATTTGTTTATTTTATATATAGGATATATGGTACATCCCCGCCCAAAACCTCACAAAACCCCACAAACCCATTGAAAACGCTTTCATGCCTCAGCGAAAGTTACAACTTGGACAGTGGTATTTATTTGAAAAACAAAAGTCCCAACAGAATGGCATTCAAACTTTAAGGGAAGGCAACATCCTCTCTTTAACGGACATGTTGAAAACGGACAGACATTGTGGGTTTTTAACTTTACTTAATGGGATAACCAGAAGATAATAAATGCTATGAAAATACTTAAATAAATCTTAAACCCGTTCTTATAACCTTTATATAAAGTTTTAATCGTTTATTAGTAACTATTTGCTTTTTGAGGCCTCTCCCTCTCTTGAGCGGACAGGGTAAAAATTTACATTTAGTAAATAAATACATTTTGGGCTCGAAACTTCACTTGATAGACAATTAGCATCAAATAATGCTTTTTAAATACTTAAATCAATCTTAAATACACAAAATATATCCCTAAAGTCCTATATAAAAGCTTTTCAAGCCCCTATCATTCTTAAACTCTACTAGAAAAACACTCCCTCTATTGAACGGACAGGGTAAAAATTAGTAGCTACTTTTCGATCATATTATGGGTTCTTAACGGACAGAAAGAGGACTCAGAAATACTTGCACTAATCTTAGAAATATTAAAAAAATGTAGGATAGATTATATATAAATAATTTACAAGATGAATAACCGAGAAAGTCCTCCCTCTCTTAAGCGGACATGTAAAAAAAAAGGCCACAGATTTGAAAATTAGAAGCCTACCAAAAACCTATCACTTACTTACAATATTCTTATATATTAGACATAGAATCACATCTCTGTTGATCCCTTCCTCCACATACCGGACACTTGGCGGACACGTAACAAGTACTTGGCACTAGAATCTATTTTCCTTAACATTTAAATGGAATTCTAGCTCTTCTAGAGCAAAAGTAATATATGTCAAGCCCAAGGCTTTATGTCCAAGCCATCATCTTAACATTCGCCCGATTTCCTGTCATGTCGTGTATTATTTTTAACTTTGACATGTGTTGGCTTTTGGCAAGGACATCAACTCATCATTTCACATCCCTCACCTCCCCCTCCGCCACATTCACAAAGCCAACATCATTTTCAGCCAGAAAGTGGCATAAAAAAAGGAGAAGAATAAATGGAAACTTTTCGTCGAAGGAAGGCGAAAAACTTTTCAAAAACTTGACAAAATGTGTCACATATGTGCCTTTAGTTGCCGAACATTAACATTAAATGAGTGACAGGAATCAACACGGATGTTTCAACCCCGAAACCGAACAAGGACATTGGATTTGTATTGATTGAAAAATAAGAGGATAATATTAATATTAATATTATAATTTATTCGTCATTTTTTTCGAGTGTTTCACTTTAATTTATGTGATGGTTTTCACTTCAATTTTGTATGCCTTTAATATTCCCATATCTAACATCGTAAATACTCTTCAAAATCCCTCATGATTTACTTTTATTATGCCAAGGGGAGAGGGAGGAGAGTGCTGTGCTCCAAACAGGAAGTCCTTAAGCTGCCTTGCAACACCTTCAAGATGCTTTATGCTCGCTCTTGAAAGGACTCTCCACCTCATCCTCTGTACCTTTTTTGTAGGGCGGAGCGGATATCACAAACAAATGAGTTCACATTTTATTTTCGGAGATATGATTTGAAAGAAACTCACTGAAGCTAATGATGATGACTGTGTTTTTTTTTTTTTGGCTTTTGGTTTGCAGGCTCCTTTATATTCCTGACCATTGAGAACGAGGACTCGGCCCTGCTGCATCAGCAGCATACACTGGCCAGCACCAAAAGGAATTTGGCTGGCATTGGCTTGGGATTTGGACAACATCAACATCGTTCCCCGCAGCAGCAGCAGCAGCAACATCAATCGCATCAGCAACAGCAGCAACATCAGACAGGACATCATGGGGACAATGACACGATGGCTGGTGCCGCCGCTGCTGTGGCCGCTGCCCAGGGTATGATATCCGGGTCGGAGCAGCAACAGCAGCAGCATAATCCTTTCGGCGGACCCGCATCCGGCGGAGATTTTGTTTACGGCATCGACGATGTGGACGAGTCGGGCGGGATGCCCCAGTTTGCTCTTTCGCCGGACACTTACGATGTCCGTCAGCGGACCATCGAGAATATCTGGGATATAACCGTCTCTCTCAATATTCTCTACAAGGAAAACTGGACAAAGTAAGTAGAGCCACTAGGCGTATACTTAATATTGATTATTTTTTAATTTTTTATCGATAGTATCGATGAAGTAAAGTAGAACCACTAGGCGTATACTTAATATAGATTCATCTTTAATTTTTCATCGATAGTATCGATTAATTAATTGTTTGTTATGCTCTATACTCGATTTTTTGTAGAGTCCTACCAGGCGTATACTTAATTCTTAACAATTTCTTACACTACCGTTACATTTTTTGGCTTATACACCATCTCCCTCGCTCTCTCTCACGCTCTGTTACAGATTGGCCGCACTTGAAATAGCCAAGTTTCAAGACCAATTAATCAAGAGACTGAACGAGGATGTTATGCTGCAATTATCGCACGACGATGTGGCCAATGCTCCAGCATCCTCCTCCTCGTCCTCATCCTCCGCCAATGGAAATCCTGGGGGCAACAATCCGGCCACGGAAGCTGTACTCCTTCATACCCACTATCATCATCATCGAGCCGGTGGGGGCGTGGTTGTGGGCGGTGGACCGCCGCACGAATGGAATTTTGCCAAAGCGTTTTTGTATTCGCTGACCGTTTTGACCACAATTGGTAAGTGCCAGTGGCTTTCTTTACACGACAAGTGATGGAAAGTCAAATATATCGAAACACATAGGTTAATAAAATAATCGATTAATTTGAATGAATGAAGATTTAAAGTAAGCAATATAAAGCTCTTCAAGCTATCGAAAACTATCAATTGTTGTTTATTTTCCTACCGTCTTCTCTTAAAAGGATTTCCAAAAGTATAGATATTATTTAAACCACAAGTCAATCCTTTAACTTCTTCGATATATATCGATATTTATTGCCATCTCTAGTGCCCTCGTGCTTATTCTTTACGTTGGCCCTGGGCCATAAATTTGATGTTCCAGCAACGGAAATTTGTTTTACTTGAATGGCGAGTGCGCTCTTGTTTGCAGGATACCGAAGGACATAGAGCCCAAAATGGCTGGCCAAAAAAAAAAAAAAAAAGGGCAGTGCCACACGGGGAGGGTAGGGGGTAGGGTGCGCCATGGGCATGACCCGCACACCTTTTGACACCATCGCATGAGTGCATTTTGGGGCTGAAAACGAACTGCTGTTGTTGATGGCGAGACTAAAGAGAATGGGGGCCAGTTGGTCCAGTCGAAAGAGTGCTGGCTAAAAAGGATGACAGGGACGCAGGACACACAATGACGATGATGATGATGATGATAATAATGATGGTCAGATGCACAATGCAGGTTCCCCAACTCCCCCCTGGAAAGCTAAAGCCAGAGTAATTCGGGCCATAAGAACTGCAGTACGTAATTGATTGATGTGCGTGCGGAAGGCAGGACTAAAGTGTTATCGGCAGCATTTAACGATTATTTACCGACAACATTAAACTAGACTATCGATAACAAAGTGATGAGGACTTTATAAGCAAACTATAGGGTTTATATACTATAGGGTTATATGAGAAATTTGATAGAAATATTTTAATATTTTAATATTTATTTGTATTAAATAGCAGCAGCATTTATCGATTACTTATCAAAAGAATTAAGCTGATCTATCGCTAATAAAATTGGGGCCTACATTAAAAGTTGTGAGAGTTTGAAATTGATTACAAATAATTCTTATTATTATTTATAATGCTAAAAATTTCATTTAATATTTTATTATAAACTGACATTAATGCTTTCGTTCCTAATTCGTTAAGACTTCGATTGCTGACTCTGTCGAGGATTTTTCAATTGGCATTTGTCAGCAAGGATACCCTGCCTCCTCTTCTCTACCAATTTTAAATATTGGTTTCTGGGGGTTTGTAAAACTTTTAAGCCTCGAACACATCCATCCATTTGGGGTTCACTTTTTTCTTTTTTTTGCCAATGTCCCAAAGCTTTGTTGCCAGTTGTCAGTTCCCAGGAAAATTTTAACCGAATGCTGCTGCCGTGTGCGTTTTGTTCCACTCACTCGCTCGTTTGGACGGTAATTTCGTACCCAACAAAAAAAAATATAAAAAAACAGTAGAGATAAAATACAAAAAAAAAAAACATCAAGCCGAAAGTCAAATATTGATAGAGCAAAACAACAAACGAAGCTATTTGCTTAGCCCGAATGGCCGAGACACAAACACGGCCAAATGCATAAACACCCACATAGAAAATCTATGAGTGTGTGTGCACCTTAAAAAATTAGGCTACAGTTCTTTAAATCTATATAATAAAATTAGAAGAGATAGGAGGTTAGGGGTTTGATGTTTAAGGTCGTTTTAATTAGGTCTTGAGGTCTTTAAAATTGTACTGGTAGGTTTTTACATAAAATCGTTTAATATTCAATATTCTAAGGATATTTTGTGTATAATTCCCAACTGGTTTGAGTATTTATATCAAAGAAAATTGAAAAATTCTTAAAACAATGAAAGAAAACATGAAAAAGAGTTCTTGAACCTCAAGGATCTGATTTTTATTACAATTTTAATATAATCCGCACTTTCTAAATTATCTAAAAATGTCTTAATATTTTTATATAAATGCTAGAAACTAATTATTTGAAAACTTTCCTTTTTTAAACCTTAAAATATTATTTTAAAGAATTTCTCCTAGTGCTTTCATGTAACAAATATACATACATCGACACGACTTTCCACTTGTGAAAATGCTATAAAATAAAATTTGCAAAAATTTTCTGCTGATCTTGGCAGTTGCTGCCAAAAGGCCAGAAAGCAAATATAGGACCTAGTCCTCCTCCCCTCCTCCTCCACAGCCTGCCACTCCCCACTCACCCATCATTATCCTCTTGCCTTTTTTTGTTGCTTTTGCCAAATGCATAAAAAGCCAGTACCCAAAAATGGTGGACGGAGAGGAGTACGGTGACGGGCGGTGGGCGGGGCAATTGCGTTAGTCAGCAGACTGCCAGGACATTTGTATTAACATGACATCCTGCCAACACCAACGCCCGCCCCCTTCGTCTTGGCTTTACATTGTTGTGTCCTTGTCCTTGCTTATTATTATTATTATTATTGTTTTTGTGGGTTGTGTGTATATATTTTTTGGATTTTGGGTAGAAGAATAGACGAGGACATGGGGCCAGGACATCGGCCAGGACATGGCAGGTCCTCTCTTCATTGTTCTTGGCCGGGCAGCAGTGCCGGCGAGCACCCCAAACAATATGATTATGATTATTGGTCCGTGCTTCTGGCCAAAAAGGACTAAGCCACTCGAAAACTTGAATGCAGTGTCCTGTTTGCCAGCTACTCTACGCCCTGCTCTTTGCTCCCTAATATCCTTTAATGGTTTTTCGGGTAATTAAGGGGTATGATGGAGGTTTCTTTCTAAAGAATTTCGAAACAAAAACAAGACATTTTGGAAAGTCTTTTCTTTAAAATCTTTCCTTTAAAAGTCTTTCTTTAAATTTCTCAAAAACTGAATAATATATGTATGGAATTTACTGGGTATCCCCTAGTTGAGCATTTATTTTAGTTTAAAGTAGTCCTCGCTTGAGCTTGAGCTCTCTATGATTGTCTTGGGCATAAATGCGAATTTATTGTCGGGTTGGGGGGACTCGGGTCCTCTAATGCTGGCATCGCACAATAAATAGGGCTCCGGATCGGGATCGTAGTCGGTATCCCCTGGACAGCAATAAGACAAGTAATTTACTTGCAAAATAATTTTAAATTTCATTTTCCATTTTCACAGACACACAGGCAGGCAGGCACACAGAGAGGAAGTAGAATTTCCATTTCCACATCCGCTTTCCCACTCACTATCATCAATTGCACATCTTTTGGATGTTGGAGGCGATTCGCATTCGCTTTTATGCCCGCCATTTTGTGTTATGCAAGTGTATGTGTGTGTGTTAGTAGTGTGTGTGTGTGTACGGAGAACCATCGATATATAAATGGGCCCCAATGAGCAAAAGAGACAGAGCAACGCAGATTAGGTCTAGTTGTTTATGGCCAAAGCGTGTGCTCAAGTAATTGTATTTACTTGGCCAACACACACATACACACACACTCTCATATTCGATAAATAATTCACCCGCCTATCGGTTGAGCCATAAACGCTCCACACACAGCGATTTATTTGCATTTCCCTCGGCGGATATCCATAATCGATAAATAACTATCGGGTCTAAGCCATCTCTAGGCAAATTGTACGCTGTAATAGTTTCTCAAGAAAATTAAGCGAGTGACTCGAATTTTAAATAGTTATTCAAGGGATTTAAGCTATATAATGCTTTAAAATCATTTAAATTTTACAAATACCTATCAAGTCTACAATTTTGTATAAGGTATCTATAGAATTTAAGTTTCAAAACATTAAAAAAAGAAACTTTATTTAAATTCGTCAATTTTTTAAACTGAAATCCGCTTGAATTGTTTACTAAAAGAATGATGTCCTGAAGCAAAACCGAAACATCTCCTTTTTGACTTCCTGCAGGACCATTAGAGATACTATATTATGTATGGCAACCGAAATCGGCGGCTATTAGCGTGTCCTGGACACAAAAGGAAAAGAATGAAGGCTAAAAACGCCAAAATGTTCAGGAAATATGCAGAGAAAAAAAATATTAACAATTTAAGAATGTTTCTAAAAACAAAATACAAAACTTTTTCAAATTTTATTATTTAAATGAATAATTCAAACTAATATTTTTGACTTGTTCTTATTCAAGAAGTTCCTTACAAAAATATACTGAATATTTATGAAAATCTGATAACACATTTTTAAACTACTTATTTTTTTATGTTTTTATTAAAAAAAAAATAAACATTTTTAACAGTACATTAAACCGCACCCATTGAAAGCTCATGTGTTCTGGAAAGGGGGGCGTATGTGTGGGGTCTCAATATTGAAATCTTTCAATATCTTTCAATAAAATATGTAGATGCCTTCAATCCCCACATACTTTACCGCCGCTCCGTCCCGTCTCGATATCCCCGGCAAATTGACAGCGCGGCAGCTGAGTTTTACAGCCCCCTCCGCCCCCAACGACACACACTCCCCCTCGTGTCGGGTCAATGGCAATATTATTAGCCAGGGGCGGCGGCAAGGGGTCGGATTTGTTGGATTTTTTTTTTCCAGAACGGTACCATCTCCAACATCTATTGGAACAGTGGCGCAAATAAATCAGTTAAAAATTTTTTACCAAAAAATCAAAGTGATTTATGCGTTTTTTTTGTGCCCACTGTGCGGGGTAAAAAGGATATGCCCTTTGTGGAGAGTAGAAAGGGGGAGTGGGGAGTGGATGCTGAGCTGTCGTCTGCTTTGTGACACATTGACATTTTTGGTCCAGGACACAGAGGAGGACTTGGAGGAGTAAAAAGGAGCGGAAGGTGCCGGGCTCGATGGATTTCATTTAAATTTGCTGTCAACGCAATTACATGGTTGCCAAGGTCTCCGAAATCCGCTTCCTGTTTCAGCCACTGTTGCAACATCTAAGTCAAATAAGACCAAGTTTAACACAAAGAACAAATGGGAGATACTAAAGTCTTAACTTAGTAAATTATAACCTTTTAAGGTTAAAGACTAAATTCATAGAGAAGTTTATTCCCAAGAGTATATATTTAAAATATAAAATCAATAAAAAAAACGAATTTTTCTCAGTGTCCTATAAGGATAACGTCTGCCCCAGGCACTTGAGCCCTGCCACATGTGATACTCCCCATATTGATTCGATTCATTTGCTTCGCACTGCTTCATTCCAATCCCCAAATGACTCACTTTCCTCCAACAGGCAACATTTGTTCCATAAAAAAAAAGCCCAGGACTAAGGAGGCGGGGGCTGCCAATAAACCACGCCCACACCTAAATAAAAAACCATACAAAGACATATATATCTAAACCGCCGTCAGAGCAAAAAAAAAACAATAAAATTAAGAAATTTTCAAATTTATGCATGACACACCTGACGACGATTGACGATTCGCCATGATTGCCTGGGATGTGTGTCTCTGCCACGCCCACCTGCTCAATTGTTTCTCCCCGCCCACATACACATACATACATATATATATAATTTTATTTTATTTTTATTTTTTTTCCTGCATTACGTTCCTTAGAGAATTTCCGGCCTTAAGCTTGTTAAGCATTTTTATTGCCTCTGCCAGCTTAATTATTTTTGGTGCCCTTTTTACAAAAAAAAAACGCCAAAAGGGACAAAGATGAGGGTAAGGTGGGCTGGGTAGGCGTGGTCCAGGGACTTACATGTGAAGTTACGGCTCATTTGGGTAATGTCAATAAGTCGGATCTCTCGGGGGAGCAGCACAAATTGACTTTTGCCAAATTAATGTGGGAAAACCAAAAAAGAAGAAAAAATACGAAAAATAATAATCCAAAAAAAAGAATGTTAATGGAAATAATTTCGTTTTTATTTTCGCCGGAAAGAAGGATCTTTTAATATGAAAATATATGATGCCTACAACCATTATACATAAATTCCAAATGATGGTAATTATAATTTAATGAACAGAACAGAATTCCTATTCGAGCGCGTGTGTTTCCATTTCATATTAGAGGCTAAAAATAAATGGAATTTTTGACAAATTAAATTCAGAGTTTATTTAAATATTAAACTTTTGTTTACTTCACTAAAAATGGGTTGTTTCATATAAATAAACGAGGTTTTAGCAGTTTAAGCTGCCGTATAATGTACGGATTGAAACCTAACCTCAAATTCTTTTTCCTAACCTCAAAATTAATTCGAAAAATCTTAATTACTACTTTCTCCTTTTTTAACCTTCTTCTAGGCTATGGCAATATTGCTCCCCGGACAACGCTCGGCCGGATCGTGACCCTGGCGTACGCCTTCTTTGGAATACCCCTGACCCTCGTCTATCTGAGCAGTACGGGCAGTATCCTGGCGCGGGTGGCCCGCGAGGTCTTCTCCAAGGCCCTCTGCTGCTGCTTGTGCTCCAATTGCGGCTACTGTTGCTACGACGAGAAGAGAATGGCCGAAAAGGAGCGAAGGATGAGGCGGAAGCGCCAGCAGGAGGAGCTCCGGAAACAGCAGGCAGTGATGCAGGAACCGTACTATGTCCGTGATGTGTATCATGCCACGCCCGAAAAGGATGCAGCTGCCGGAGGAGGAGGTGTGGCAGGAGCACCCCCTTCAGTGCCGACTGGAGGTGGATCGAATCCCATGGCCACAGGATGCCCGCCAGGTGACATAGACTCCCTGAGTGCCAGCGAATCGAGAGGATCAATGCACGGCCTGAGCATCCTGGCTCCCATCCTCCTGTGCTTCTCCATGATGATCATCTATATTGTGTTTGGGGCGGCGGTCCTCTATCGCCTGGAGAACTGGCCCATTCTGGACGGGATCTACTTCTGCTTCATGAGCCTCTCAACGATCGGCTTTGGGGACATGCTGCCCGGGCTGCGACGCGAATCGAATGCCACCACCTGGTTCTGCTCGGTGTACATCATGTCCGGCATGACCCTGACCGCCATGTGCTTCAATGTCATCCACGAGGAGATCGTCCACCGGATCCGGATAGTAGTGGAGTTCAAAAAGACGAGTGCCGCCAATTCGGCGGGCGGTCTGACAGGTCCTGGGATGACCTCCGCCGCCCCCACCGGCTCCATGATGGACGTGGGTCACGAGGAGGGCGGCCAGTACTATGTCCCGGCATCCTGACACTACGAAAAGCGAGGACATCTCTACCAGCGTAACCCCACCGAAGAGACCCTGGTGACAGGTGGGTTTCGTGATGAAATTTCTTCATCCTCATGTCCTTTAATCCTCTCTCTCTCTCTCTATTAAAGACACTCCCACATCGCTGGTGCTGAAGGACTACGTGAATCACGAGCTGGTGCCCATTTTGACGATGGATCCGAACGGAGCTCGTCTCACACCCGCGCCCGCATACACGCCCGCCCTTTCCGCCGGCGAAGCGGCCACGCCCGGCAACAGTTGCATCGCCCACGGCAGTGACTCCGGCCTGGGCTACTCCTCGCTGAGCAGTCCGCTCCTCGATGTCCTCACCACGCCCACAGCGGGCCCGGCCGCCTCCGGGGTCTATACGCTGACGGAGGAAACGGAGCTCGAACTCCAGGAGACGCATGTCGACAGGGACCGGGAAAGAGACAGGGACAGGGAGCGCGAAAGAGAGCGCATCTAAGGGCGCCAAACGGGAAAGTATTTGAAAAATGGGAAAGGAGCAGTATTAGTTAGAGATTAGCCTTAGACTTAGTCCTAAACTAGACCGAATCGGTATTATAGAGTAATGGATAATGACTATTTTTTTTGTTTTTTTTTCCTCGTGTGTATGAGTGTGTAATTGGTACATATATGTGTGTGAAAACAAGAAAATAATTATAAAAAAAAAGCGAAAATCAAGCGTCCCGTTGGACCAGAAAATATTCATGAATATTATTCATAAGTCGAACTATCACTGTACATACAAAATAAATGGTATATGGGCGAAGATACATTTCCATAGCTCCTAAGCAGATCAACCGATTGTAAACAGAAATCCCCATTAAAGTGAAAAAACCAAAAATATATATATTTAGTCAAAATAAAATATATATATAAAATACAAATAGCTGTTATACTCAAAGTAAACAGAATAAGCGATATATGTGAAGGATGAGATGACCAATAATATTTTATTTTCAAAGAAAATATCACTAAGAAAATGTCGTCTTTCCTTCATAAATTTTTTTGGTCATCTCTAGAGTCACAAGAACACTTCCATTACTTTTCGAACAAAGTTCTCCCATCGAATTGTTCGAAATCTACACTTCACTTCACTTTCTATATGTTCGAACACGAACGAAATCAAATAGATAAATTCTTTTATGTAAGAGAAACCCAGACCCAACAACTACATAATCCAAAATACCCATTACCTAATCGAGACACATTTTATACGTAAATCAAGCTTAGAAAAATTACATTATATGTACTAAATACCATATAAATATGCTACACATAATATATATATATATATAAATATGTTTAGGTAATTGTATTTTTTTTTTGTAATTGTAATAAGCGTAAAAGGTGAGGAAATGTGGAGAAAATTTAACTATGCATACATATTATCAATGAATTCAAATTCATAAATTTAAATAAATGTTTGAACTACAAGAGAAAACGAACAAGAAAACCAAATGAAACAAACTTGCTAAACTTTGTAAATGTTGAAATATACCCAATTGTATATTTATAACACATGCAGCAGTGAAATAAAATCAATAAAAACTTAAATGAGTTCGTTTTTTGCATTAATGTTTTGGTGTGAAAATGAGTTTTAAATTCAAATTCAATTCACAGTGGCGGGTTTTAACATAACTGTTAAACTTGGTGCTGTTAAGGTAACACAGAGCTGTTAGGCGAATTATTTATCTTTTTCATTCCCACGATTAACACTACCTTTTTTGCTCAAAAAATTTACAAAATATTTAATTTTATTTCATTTTTAAAAACTAGTAAATCCAAAAATATTTTTTTATTTAACATTTTGTCGTCAAAAATGTTTGGTGTTGGAAAAAGAAGTTACCTTTATTTCAGTGCTGTTAAGCGCATTCATACTTTGGGTTTTTTTATTCTAATATTTCACACCAAAAATTCAAATTAAATTAAATTAAGGACTTAAAAATGTAATTTTCTTTATTTAACGATTTATGAATGAATGTTTATTTGATTAAATTTACATAATGCAACTCTGATTTCTGTTAGACCTCTGTTAAACATTCAAAACCTTACCCACACTGAGCGGGCAGCCATTTTAACATTATCCGTTAGAATAGGACTAAACTTTTACTGGGACTGAGCTTAAATTATTTGTCGCACGATGAACTGGGCCATCATCATCTCGATTCTGCTCAATTGCCTTTTTCCAGGCATAGCCTCGCTGGACGACGACTGCCCCACGTTGGCGGATGGGGATAGCTTCTCGCAAACACAGTTACTGGACCGCTTAACCCATGGCTGCCGCTACGATCGCCTGGAACGTCCCATAACCTATTCGGAAACGGGCCAGCGCCTGCCCGTGGATGTTTATATGAGAGCCTATATATACTTTATGCAGAATCTCGAAGCTCATGATCTGCAGTTCAAAATTTACGCCCTGCTGCAAATGCGCTACTTAGATCCCCGCCTGAACTTCCGTACTGTGAGCCCGAAGAGAAAACAGCCGATCCTTGGGGAGCAGCAGCTTCGGGACACCCTCTGGATGCCCCACATATTCCTGGCCAACGAACGGGACTCCAGCATATTGGGCAAGTCAAGGGGGCTTATTTTTTACTGAATAAAGTCGGTCTTAAAGTCGATAGTACATTTTCAGGTATGGCCGAAAAAGATATTCTAACCTCCATCTCACCAGATGGTACTGTGATAGTCTCCAATAGGATTAAGGCCACTCTGTACTGTTGGCTTAACCTCAAGAAGTTTCCGTTCGACGAACAGCACTGCTCCACTGTCCTCGAGAGTTGGATGTACAACACCTCGGAACTGGTGCTTCATTGGGAACAAAAACGTCCCATAACCTTCGATTCTGGCCTCCATCTCACCGAGTTTGTGCTGCAAAAGTCGTGGTATAATGAAACGGTTATAAATGCGGATCTCAGCGATCTGCGGCATGGAGCCTTTGCCGGAAACTACAGTTCCATGAGCTTTACAGTCCATCTGACCCGTGTGGTTGGTTTCTATTTGATGGATTACTTTCTTCCCTCCATGCTGATTGTGGCCATATCGTGGGTATCGTTTTGGCTGCAAGCAGACCAAGCCCCACCGAGAATCACCCTTGGAACCAGCACCATGTTGACCTTCATAACACTAGCCTCGGCCCAGGGCAAGACCCTGCCGAAAGTCAGCTACATCAAGGTGTCGGAGGTGTGGTTTCTGGGCTGCACCATCTTCATATTTGGCAGCATGGTGGAGTTCGCGTTCGTGAACACCATTTGGCGGCGCAAGAATAGTGTGCCGGTCAAGAAACTAAACAGCAAGCACATACTAAAGTCCACCTTGTCGCCGACACTGCTGCGCCGTAAAAGTCATGCTCGTTCGAAGTCCTTTTCGGGCGTGGCACTCCAAAAAGCTATGGATGCGGGATCGCTGGGCGGCGAACCGAACTTCAATAACTATCTAACGGTGAACCTACCAATAACCACCATTAACGAAGGTCAGGTGATGGGCAACACGCACAAAAAGCTGGACGTGAACTTCGTGGAGAGCGCCTTTGGCGGAATGGCGTCGGCCCGATCAACAGGAACGGTGAACAGTGCAGCGACCACTTCGCAGTGTGGAAGCAACAATCGTCTGGACAACAGCAGCGCAGAACCACTAGGCGAGGAGGAGGTGGACTTCAGTGGCTGGACGACACTAACACCGCAGGAGATCGCCATTTGGATCGACAGTCGCGCTCGTTTTGTATTTCCCGTGGCCTTTTTGGTCTTTAATCTGTTTTTCTGGACATTTGTCTATTTTATTTAAATATGCCCTTAATATTCGTCATACCTGTAGAGTTTAATGTTTTGTCTCAAGTGTTTTGTATTATTATTTGTTTAAAAACTTATGAAAAATAGTTTAAAAATCATGTTTTTTCCCAGGAAATTCTTTATGTTTAAGGTCTCTTGGAGATTCTTTTATTTTTGTTTTAAATACCCATTGTATATGTTTGCTTTTGATTTTGTAATACATCCTTATTTCGTATTTTAATATTTAAATCGTATTTTTCTTGCACCTGTAACATAATATCTTGAAAATCAAATTGCCCGCCCAGCTGTTGCGCATTCGCGGTCAGTGTTGGTAAACTCGAGATAACAGGTTCACTAGAGATGGCAATAGTCACACCCAGCATGGCAACCTGTATGCGTTAGAGTAGTACAGCTAGAATGCCGATATTCTTTTTTTTTTTTCTGGCATACACGCATGCACAAACACATACAGAGCAACAATAACTTCGGAGCCCCAAAAAACGTTCGGTTGGTCGCTCGCGAAAACTTCGTCGTGAATTGTAAATGGGAAAAAAGTAAAAAAAAAAAAGAAGCTCCAACGCGTTTGGGTTTTTTTTATAGTGCAGCCCTACGCCAAAAAGGCAAGGAATTAAAAAAAACGGCGCAGCCAGCACACCAACAACAACATCAGCATGTGCAAGTGCAAGGCAAACATAAACAACGGTGCAGAGAAGTGACTAAAGAAGAGGAAGCATCAACATGCGTTCGTGTGTGTGTGTACAACGAAAATATTGTATAAATCAAAATTATATATGTTTTTTTTTTCAACCGAGGTGATCACTCAATCTTTTCCTCACCCCCTTTCGAATTGTATCGCTACGAAAAAAAAATACATCGTCTGAGCAGAAAAAAAAAACAACGCGCAAGCAACAAAAAAAAAAAAGTGAAAAAAATTTAACAGAAAAAAAAAAACAGGAGCAGAAGCTTAATGCTTTAACCGGTAAAGTTTACCGTCCCCTGCCCCCTCTCCTCTGGAGCCACAACAACAATAATCAACACTGGAGAGAGCCAAAAAAAAAAAAGAAGAAAAAAAAAACAATAACAACTAAAACAAAAACATCTTTGGGGAGAAAGAGCGGTGCAACGCACGTTGTCCTGCCTGGCTGCCTCCTGTTACTCCTGTCTCTTCCTGGTCCACCGCCTCTTGCAACTCTGCAACTACTTCTTCCACCTCCCGGGCCACCATGGACACCATCTGTAGATTGTGCTTCCAAACGGCAACGGTAAGAAAATTTTGACCAATTTTACGTTTTTTTTTATTAAATATTTTTATATCTTATGTATTAATATCTGTGGAATGCGTGTGAGGGAATGCAACAACAACAACAACACATACGAAAAAAAAAAACTGTCAGTTGTGTATTTTGTTATTTCTATTGATTTTTAGGTGGCCGGGAGGGGCCGGGGGCGAAGTTTAAACAATTGAATTTGTGCGGGATTTAGCGCTGCTGCCACTGCCGTCGCTGCCACAGTCGACTGCGCTGCCTTCCACTGTTATTGTTCGGGGATAGTGATGCTCCAATAAAAAAAAAAGCTAAATATTTAATAGGAATTGAAAGAAGAAAAAATAACTTGTAAACTTTTTATTAATTTTAATATTTTTAAGAGGTATTTCTTATAGTTAAAAACAATTAAATAATCTTAATTCAAGCATAAAAAATAAAAAAAAGCCTACTAAATCTTAATATAGTAAAACTAGCTTGAAAAAAGCTAAAAGCTCAGCAATAACTGGCGTTGAGAAAAGGATGGGAGGTGGGGGTTGAAAAGCGCGCGCATTGCTTTCTTTTTCTCTCTCTCTTTGGGGCAAAAGTTCGGCACTCTCTCGGGCTCTCTCTCTCATACGGTTCCGTTCGGTGGGAGGGGGGTCTCTCATACAAAAACAATACACATATGCGACCCCAAACTATTGCTGAACAATTTTTATTTTTAGCCAACTCAGCCCGAAAAGTTGTTCAAGCCGACAACTTGAAAAAATATTATTTTTACATTTTGCTTATGTGCGCCGCTCTTGCTTTTCACTTTGACTCCTTTTCAACATTCCCCAATCCCCCCGTTACCCCTACCCCTTACACTTATTGCTGCTCTTCACCAACCCCCCTCCACTTCATGCTCCACCATGAAGAGCACAAAAAGAAATACATAATAAAACAAAATGACAGAAATTGCGCCAAGGCAGTCAGTGGAACAGTGACGGAGAAGAGCTTTTTAAAGGGGGGGTTAACATCAAAAAATAATTAGTTTAAATAATTAAATTAAATATGGTTATATTTTTCTTTAAAATAAATGTATAAATTTTAATATCTAATATTTCTTATTTAAATTCCTTCACATGGATTGGAATGTGCATCCCCCTTTGAGAAAGCCTCTGCCATGATGGCGGCAAAACAAAACAAAAAGCAAAAGAATAACAAAACGCTGTACCAAAAAAAAAAAAAAAAGAAAAAAAAAACACGAAACGTTGCCAGTGTTGTTATTATTATTATTATTTTTTTTTTCTCCTCTATATGTGTGTGTGTTTATCTTCTTGGTTGTTATTTCTATTTTGTGGAATAGGATGAAGGGGGCGGGGGGGCAGAGGGGGTGGGGAATGGTTGGGTGAATAAGGTTGGGTTGCCACAATAAATAAAAAGCATTATTGTTATTACAGTTTTTTTTTGCTTTTGAATTTCAAAAAAAAAAAAAGAAAAAAAAAAGAGAAAAAAAGAAAAACATAATTAAAGTAAGAAAAAGTACAATTTAATCAAGTTTTTATTTAAAAAAACTAATAATTTGTTTTCTATTGCCATTTACAGCTATTCCAGGTGCCCGGCTATAGCATACCCACATGCGTTCGCTGCTCAGAACAGTTAACAAATAATTCCAACTTTCATCAATCGGTGGCAGCCACCGCTGGTGGGGGTGGTGCTGGCGGTGGTGGCGGCGGCGGCGCGGGCGGTGGCGTCGTTGGTGGTGGCGGCTCTGCTGCAGCGGCATCGGCTGCAGCGGCTGTTGCTGCCGCCTCTGCCTCCGCCTCAGCCGCCGCTGCTGCTGCTGCTGCCGCTGCTGCAGCCGCTGCGGCATCCTCGTCCACGGCCTCCTCCAGCGATAGTGACGCCCATGCGGTGGCCCAGCAACTGACCAACGGTAGTAATGCCGCCGCCGCCGCCGCTGTCCTCCAACTGCAGCAGCAACATCAGCAGCACCAGCAGCAGCAGCAGCAGCAACAACAACAGCAACAACAACAGCAACAACAAATGCAATCATCCAGCTCTTCCGAGAATCTGCAGTCACAGGACGACTCCGAAGATGTAAGTCCTGCCGGCTAGGGTCTTGGGGTTGGGTTTATAAAGGGGGTTCCCAAAGATCCATTATTTTTAATGATTTTTCAAAAACAGATTTCTTTTAAGACTTGGGATTGGTTTTGAGCATTAAGACTTAATCACTTGGACTAAGTTAGTCAGCTGTTAATAGAAGCAACTTTCTTTAGAAAGAATATTAAAATATTTCATAGTTTTTAAAATTTTTAATAAAAAATTACACATTTTTAGGGTGAGGTTTACTAAGGTCAGGTTTTGTAGGTTATGTTTAGACTTCTCTCAACGAGAACCAATTGAGAATTATAGCAAACAAAACACAAAATTCGATTAATAATAATAACATAGTATTCTAATAAAACATAATAAGATTATGATAATTTCTATAAATATTTTTAAATATTTTAAATCTTCTTAAATTTAAAATCTAATATTTATTAATTTTATACATACACTTCCTTCGTCACCTTCTAAAAAATCTACAAGAGCCCTTTAATAAGTTTTATAAATATTTTTAAATATTTTAAATCTTCTTAAATATAAAATCTAATTTTTCTTAATTTCATACATACACTTCTTTCGTCACCTACTAAAAAATCCATATGAGCCTTTTTTTTTATATCTTTAAATCTTTTAAATCTTAAAGTTAAAATCTAATATTTCTAAATTTTATACATACATTTCTTTCGTCACCTACTTAAATATCTATAAGAGCCCTTTAAGAAATTCCCTTTCGCATAAGCCACTGCTAAAATAGAAAAAAAAAAACTCCTTGCTCCTTTGGTGCACTTGTTTATTATTATTGTGCTATTTTTTTTTCTTTCTTCTTCTTCCTTTTTCATTCAGCTCCCACTCGCCAAACGTACAAAACATACATACAAATATACAAACATACATATATTTGCTTGCACATTCATAGCCTCTTCTTCTTCTTTTTTTTTTATTTCTTATTTTTGCTCGTTTCTTTGCATGTTCTTGTTGCCTTTCTTTTTTTTTCCATCATGCAACAGAGAGCTGCAAAAACAAAAACAAAAAAAAAATCGAGGGGGGGCTGGGGGAGAAATTTTAAACAAATAAAAATAAGAATGGGTCAAGCCGACCACAGGGAATACTCTTCAAAAAAATAAATATAAAAAAAATTATAGAATAGGAATGATTTGAAGACTCTGAAATAATAATAATATATGACATTTATTTCGTCACTAAAATTGTATAGGAAATATTTGGTAATATTTTGGGATAAAATAAATACTAAACAAGAAGATGTTTCTAAAATCATCTCTAAGTTTAGGGGAAGTTTTTTATTTTTAATTAAAACAAAGTAGAATTCGTCACTAAAATTTGTATGAAACACAAGGAAATATTTTGGAATAAAATAAATAATAAACAAGAAGAGGTTTCTGAAAGGATTTTTAAATCATTTAAAAATAAATCATCTTTAAGTTTAAAGCTTTTAAGGGGAAGTTTTTATTTTTAATTAAAACAAAGTAGAATTCGTCACAAAAATTTATAAGGAATAATAGGTAATATTTCAGGATAATAGAAATACTAAACAAGAATGGCTTTTTAGAAAGTTAGTTGGACTAATGGCTTTTAAAATTATCTTTGAGTCGAACTCCCAAAAGGTCTAATATTTTAATATTTTTAAAAATAAAGAGTAACTTGTTTCGTCACTAAAAGATTAAAGGGAATTCGTCACTGTTTTTGTTTTAATTTTTTTTTTATAAATAGCTTCTCAAGTAATATAAGCTTATAATCAAAATAAGTATTATATCTAGTCTAAATTATAAAATATTTTAAAATATATATATTTTCTTAATTTTAAAACCTTATTTTAAAAACTATAACTATTTTTTTAAAAACCAGAAATTGAAAGAGTATTTAAAATTCCATTTCTTGCCAATATTTTGCTGCTCATTTTCTTGTTTTCCTTTATATTTATATATATATGTATAAACATATATATATTCGTATATATAGCCATTTATTTTGTTCTTTTTTTTCCATTAATATCTGCTCTGTCGGCGTCAGCGTCGGCATCGACATCGGCGTCGACGTCGCTGCTGGTTGGAGCGCAACGTTTTTGTGCGCTGTGTAAGTTGGAAAAAAATTCATTTTCAGTTGATGCTTTCGTTGTGTGGGTGTGCGTGGCACGCAAGTTGCAAAAAAAAAAAAATAAATAAATAAAACAAAAATAAATAAAAGAATAATAGAATAAATAAATAATAATAAAAAAACATTAAGTGTAATTAGAGAAGAGAGCCATAAACGCAATAAACAAACTGAATTCGCACGGGAATTTGCAATCTGTTCTTTGGGCCGCCAGCTTGTTGAGCGTGAGTGGGTGGTGGGGTGGTGGGGTGGCGGAGAGAGTGGCCGGAAAGGTCTCCAAGGAGAGCCATAATTAAATCCTTTTTATTACCACGTTGTCCTTTTTACGGAAATAGTGAAGATTTTGGCTAAAAAATAGTCATTAATAAGAGACTTTGATTTTTCTAAAGATTTTAATTTGTTTTTGGAGAAATTATGGTTATTTTTTAGTGTTTAAAATATTTAGAAAATAAAAATAATAGTGTCTTGTATGAATATAAGCTAGAAACATATTTCTGGAGAATTTTAAATAAATAAAAAAAAATAAACTAGTGACGAAATCAAGTGATGACCATTAAAGTGGCCTATTTTTATTGTTTATTTATTTGTTTCTATTTAAAAATGTAAAATATTACAAGCTTTAAGGATAAAACATAAAAGAATGTTAAATTTTTAATAAGAACTTGTATTTCTTGAGAATTTAGAACTAAAAAAAACATTAGTGACGAATAAGTGAGCTATTTTTATAGTTTAATGCTTTGATTCTTCTCTAATCTTTAAGTTTCTTTCAAAAAATATACAAAACTATGAAGGTTTAACATAAAAATAGAAGAATAATACATTTTTAATAGAAACTTTTATTAGTTGAGAATCTATAGTTAAAAAAATAAACAAAATAGTGACGAATTCCACTGATAACTATTATAGTTTTCTATTTTTATAGTTTAATAATATAATTCTTTAAGTTTCCATTAAAAGATATACATAATTATGAAGGTAGAACATAAACTTAGAAGAATTTTTAATAAAAATTTTGTATTTCTTAATAATTTAGAAATAAAAAAAACATTAGTGACGAAAAAGTGTCCTATTTTTGTAGTTAAATGCTTTAATTCTTTAAGATTCTTAATAAAAAATATATAAAATTATAATATTAGAACACCATAAACATAAAATAATAATACATTTTTATTAAAAACTTCTATTTCTTGAGAATTTATTAAAAATAAAAAAACATTAGTGACGAATTCAACTGATAACTATTATAGTTTACTATCTTCATAGTTTAAAGCTTTAATTCTTTAGGTTTTAATTTAAAAATATATACAATTACAAAGGTAAAACTTAAAAAATAATACATTTTTTAAGAAAAAGTATTTCTTAAGAATTTGTGACGAATTTGCTTACATTTTGTAAAATATTCTACAATATTCTCTATGCTACAAATATTCTATAAACCTTTATAGATCTTAAAGCTAATATATCTTCCCTTTCCAGGTGGATCTGATATTCAACGAGGAGGGCTCCTGCCCACTATGCAACAAAACGTTCTCGCGCAAATCCTCGCTCATGACGCACATACGAAATCACTCGGCGGAGCGTAAGTTTGTGTGCACCTACTGCCACAAAGGTAGGTCTATAATCCTTATTCCTCCTCCTCGATTTACAAAAATCCTATAAAATATATCTTGTATATCGCAGGCTTTACGCAGGCGGCCAACTTGAGGAATCACGAACGGATCCACACCAACGACCGGCCCTACCAGTGCGTGGATTGTGGCAAGACCTTCACACAGATCACCAACCTGAACAACCACCGACGCCTCCACACCGGCGAGCGTCCCTTTGTGTGCAATGAGCCGGAATGTGGTCGCAGTTTCGCCCAGGTATGGCTCCAATATCTTGAATTTCTAGAAATCAGATTAATATATTTTTTTGGTATATTTTTGTAGGTGACGAATCTGAACAATCACATGAAGTCACACCATAAGGTGCAGCAATATTGTTGCAACGTTTGCAACAAGAAATTCACGCAGGTGACATCGCTGAATCAGCACCTGCAGGCGCATGCCGGCGTTACTGGATACTACTGCCCCCGTTGCCCGGACAAGAACTTCAAGCTGCAGTCCCAGCTGCATACGCACATGAAGACCCACGGTCTGGCGTTCCCCTATGAGTGCGGCAAGTGTGACGAGAAGTTCCTGCAGCAGGCGCATCTGGACCAGCACCTCAAGATGCACGACGAGTTCAAGTACAAGTGCGACATCTGTCCCAGTAGCTTCAATCAGGAGTCGCTGCTGAAGAAGCACGTCCAGCGGCATGTCGAGGGTCGGTACTTGTCCTGCCCGGTGGCCAATTGCACCGAATCGTTCGCCGTGCGCCAGCACCTGTCCAAGCACCTGCTCACCAGCCACTCGCATCACGAACTGCCGCCGCCGAAGCGCTCCAAGAAGACTGTCACCCTGCAGGCGCCCCAACAGCCCCTGGCGATGATCGGTCAGCCCTTGTCCCTCCAGCACACGACGGGGCAGCGTAAGTTGGAGTTACATTCTTCCTTGTAGTTCTGGTATTAATCCTTGATTCTTATCCTTTAATAGGAGGACGTCCACCCAAAAATAAGAACAAGGCGGCACTGGCCCCCACGGCCATTAAAATCGAAATCAACGAGCCGCTCCACAGCCAGCATATCATCAGTAACGCCAGTGGCCTATCCATCCAGCAGCAGATTAGCCAGCATATCCAGCATCAAGCGCAACAGCAGCAGCAGCAACAACAACAACAACAGCAGCAACAACAACAGGCGGCGCAACAGCAACAACATCTTCACCTGCCGATGGGGCAGGCGGTGAAGGCGCGTTTCATACCCACTAAGTAGTAGGATAGATGGATGGAAGGAAAGGTCTCTCTTAGCTTAAGATCCGATCAATCAGCTGCTAAAATCAATCCCTAGCCATAGCCAGAAGTAGAATCATAATAGTCTACAGCATAAATACAGGATCCCCCCCTTTGCAGACTCCAAAAATCCCATAATAAAACCTTAAGAGTCGGCGGCAAGCTGCTGGTTCGGTTTGGTGTCAAGTCTTTAATCTATATAGCCCCCCTCTACCCCCCCTTCCAACCAAAGCAATAGTCACACCAAATGCCACATTTTAATACCCAGCACCAGATGACAAAAAAAAAAAAAAAAAAAAAAAGAAACACCCACATTTAAATAAATTCTAAATATATATATATATAAAAGATATATATAAAGATTATATAATTGAGAGAACAGGATGATCAGAAAGATTGTAACTTAAATCGAATTAATATTTTAATGTAAAGCACACAGCGAAAAAGTAAAATATAAAAAAAAAAAACACTAAAAAAATAAAAAATTACAAAAAAAAAAAGGAAAATAAAAGATTTATAAATAAAAGGAAAATTAATTACAATTTAAAGTAAAATAATGAATAGAGAAGATGAAAAGCAACAATTTGATTACATTTGGTATAAATATTTAAGTTTAAGCAATTAGTTTAAGTGTTTTTATTTTTTTTTTTTTTTAAATAAAATCATTATACAACAAGAACAAGTCTAAAGAAAAAGAAAAACAAGTTAAGGCAAAAATAAAAAAACGTTTTTTTAAATGCAATTTTCAAAGTAGAGTCTATATATAATACAGATATATATATATATATTTATTTTAATATTATCTATTTTTTTTTAGCGAATGTATAGGCCATTTAGAAAAAGATTAAGGATCAATTCGAGATGAGTATATTTGGCTCGATGGAGTGCAGGACATTGAATCCTTTGTGGAGGATGCAGGTGCGTGGAATGCCGCAGGCCACCAGAAAGTGTGAAAACTGAAACCACATTTCATCATCAAAACATATCAAGACCAGATAGCCACCACTTACCTCCACGGAATGCTGATGAATGTTGCTAACACACACCACAATCCTGCCCCTCAATTGGGCCTCCAGCTGGGGCACGGGCAACGCGTCCAGTCGCTGCTCCCCCAGCTGAACGGTGGCGAACGGTATGTTGATGCTGTGCGGCACATGCACCCTTCCATACTCCACAATGCTGCGCAGATCCACCAGCGCCAGTTCCGAGGGATTGTTGAGCAGCAAGTGGAGCACATCCTTGGCACTGATCCGGGGGCACTGCTCCTGCTGCAAGTGCTTCAGTTCCACGTCATCGATGCCAATGTCCTGGAGGGGATTACAAGAAATATTAGCCATGTAGAGGGACCAATGTACCATAGAAACTAACCAAATCATGTAGGGTATGGATGCGGAGGGCATGCTGGCGGTGCGTTATACTTTTCGGTGTGGCTTCGTACATTTTCTGGGACTCCAGGACACAACCTTCCATCACGATATCCGGCAGATCGGAGAAGAGCAGTATGCACTCGTTGAACCCGGAGGAGAGCAGAGTGCTGCGTAGCTGGCGCAGAATAGCAATGCCAATGAAGAGGGGATACGAACTGTCGCCCAACATCAGTTTGTCCCACAGATGGAGGATCTTGTGCAGCGGGAACACGTCTACAATAGGAAGGATGCGATGTTACAATCTTAATCTAGGAAGGATTCGACCCAATTACGTGAGAACATGGTGAGGAACCAGGGAATAGCAAAGAGCTCCGGTATAAAGCTAATGCTGGCCAAGTGCTGGGCTAGGAGTGGCTCATGGAAGGCGGTCAGTTGCGAGAACTTGCTCAGATACTCCTTGATCACCGCCGAGTTGTCCTTGAGGAAGAACCACTGGAGATACTTTGGAATGAACTTGAACAGACTGAGGAAGGCCAGTTCTAGAAACAGAGAAACACTCTGGAATGACAAGGAATCTCAACAAGCATCCACACCCACCCTCATTGTTAAAGTTTAGATACAGAAATGGTGCCGTCAGGGAGTCCAATCCCTGCCAGTAGACATACTGCGGATGGGCCGTGACCCAGGCTTTCAGTAACCGGCGCAGCTTGCGGTGCCCATCGGGAGAGGAAAGCAGCTCATCGTACTGATGACACCGCGGGATATCGACCTCGATCTGGCGGTCTGTGCTGGTGGCCGTGTACTTGTCGATCTTCCAGTAGCTCCCATTGGGCACCACCTCGAGCAGGGCCGCCCAGATGGGGCCACGCAACAACGGCGGGACATCCACCAACGCCTCGCGCTGCAGATGCTCGGCCGTGTGCGGATGCCCCTGGAGGAGGCGCGTAAAGAGACGCACTCGCTGGAACTGGTACTCGATGTCCTTTTCGCGAATCACCAGCGGCAGCTCCTGGAGTTCGCGGGCGTTCTGGGCAGGAAACCGCGGCGAGTGCAGCAGCGGAAAGTAGACATTCGCCGGCAGGCGACTCAGCCGCTGGAGCAGAGCCTGCAGTCGGAGGGGCACCACCCGGTCGTCCATTAGCTGGGCCTGACTTCGTCCCGGACAGACGCTCACCCCGCTGAGGCGCACGATCTGTGGCAGACCCAGGATCGGAGCTTCGCTCCGGATGAGTCCTTCCTTCTTCAGCTCCGCCTGGACATCGCCGCCGGCCAGCTGCCAGAGGTGGTAGATCTGCGAGAGCGGGCAGCGCAGCAACAGAGGCACAGGCTCCTTCTCCAGAGACTCCAGGAGTTCGTTTTCCTTGCTCATCTCCGAAGCTATCGCCTCGAAGAGCGGGTGCTTCAGCAGTTCCCCCGGCAGCGGACGTTTCTTCGGCGAAACATGCAGACAGCTCTCCAGCAGCTGTTGCAGCTCCTTGTCCAGTGCCACGTAGCGATCATAGCACTGATGCTCTCGGGCAATCTTCTCCAGCACCCCGTTACTCCTGCCGAAGGCCAGGATCTTCCGGATTACATTCGAAAGCTTCAGCTTGGGCCAGAGTTCGATTTGGAATATGAACTCCACCATGAGGAGTGCCATTGCCCAGACATCGCTCTTAATGTTGCCATTGAGGCCGAGCACTCGCTCCGGCGCCATGTACCGGATGTTGCCAATGGGAAAGGGCACGTAGCAGCCACCCTTGGTCATGTGATGGAGGCCATAATTGAAGAGCTTCACTTGCCGGCCGTCCCGGGAGATGAGAATATGCTTGGGCTCGAGATTGTGGGCCACCAAATGATGCCGACTGAGGACATCAATGCCGCAGGCGACCTGGTAGAAGATGCGCAGGATCTGGCCCAAGGCCATAGGATGCTGCCGTTTCGCATAATCCTCCAGAGAAAGTCCCATGTACTCCGAGACGACAATGGTGCGCTCTAAAAGACCCAAAGGATTAGGAAGTCCATAGATCAGAGGGTTTTAACCAGTTTACCATGCTTGCCGCGTATCACGTCCAGGTACTGGCACAAGTGCTCGTCCTGCAGGTCCTTTAGCTTTTGCGCCCTGCCCAGAATCGCAATCGAATTGGGCGTCAGCGGTAGTCCATTGCTGCCGCACACATCGCCCGGATGCAGTTTCGCAAAGAAGGTGAGGGCGCACAGGCGGCTCTCCTGCTTGCTGGCCATCCTCCTTCCGTGTACCGGGTGCCGTGTACGGATATCGTTGGCTTTTGTTTTAAAAATACATTCGCGGATGCAGCAACAATTTTCAGTTTATCAGCTGACAGCGTTGCCACGTTGCCAAAGTGCAACGCCCCCAATATTTTGGGGGGCATTTAAATCCAATCATTTGTATAACTTTGGTGGGGATTTGGTTATATTCTATGCTTTATTGTGTTTAATCTTTAGATTTGTTAGTTTTGTGAAAGATTTATCTCATATTTGTTGGAAACTGCGCAACAGTTGTTGGCGTTGCCATCTGTAAAGACGCCCCCCAAAAATTTATTAATTAATTATGATTATGATTAATTAACCAAAAAAAATAAATAGTCTGAAGTCTAATTTAAATTGTTTATTGTTTTTGTTAAATTTATTAGTTTTTTTTAATAGTTTTATATTTAAAATGTTTTTCTTCCTCTGTGGCAGCCCTGGTTGGCGCCATTATGTTCTTCGCTTTCCAACACTGACCCCCCCGCAGATTGTTGTTACTGGCACTGTTGTTGCTGTTTGTTGGGCATCGTTGTTGTTGTTGCTTCTTGTTGTTCGTGCTGCTACTTGCGATTTTGTTATTTTTATTGCGCACTCGAAATTGTTTTGTTATTTCCAAGAGCACTACGATGCGGGCCGCAGTAGTAATTTTTGCTTAGTTAGTCGCTCGCCGCACGGAATTGTGGTGTGTGGTGGTGTAGATTCTCCGTTTCAGTACTGCTCTGTAACTGTAAATTGCAAGTGCAAATGTAAAATAATAAAAATCACATAATTGCAAGTTGCACTTCAATATTTGCGATAAAATGTCGATATTTGTTGAGTATACAGATCCGCAATGGCGGGATCTGGATATGCGCGAACTGGACGTCGATCAGTCGTATCTGTATCTGAAATCTGATTATCCCGAACGATCCTATCTCTATACATTATCCGACGAATGCTATACGGTACCTATTACATATAACGGTGCACACCTGTTACATGAGCTGGCGGCAATCGCCATTACATCGCTCGCCGCCGAATACGGTTTCACTTTCAGTCCCCCAATCAATTAACCAATTAATTTAATTCGATTTTTGCAGTGTCCATACACCAAAGTGAAAGCTCTGCCCGCAGTCGACGGCGGCGGCGGCGACGACATCGAACCGTTACGATTGAGCTCGGCATACGCGCTGAATTTCAAAATCTATCAACACGATCAGGGTCACTATGCCTACGACAATGTGTACGTACTGTACAGTGGTCACCCGCTAAGGGCGATGAGCTCCAAAACTCTAATTCTCTCTAATTAAAACTCTTTATCAAAAAACTATATATTTTGAGCATTATCATACCCCTTTCAAGTTCTAGTTTGGTTTATCTAATCTCTACTGTAGTTCAAGTGCTTTGTATATACGAGTATGCTAACTAGTTTAAGCGAAACTACTTAGCTATGCAATTTGTTTGCAATTATACATGTTCTTTTCAAGTTTAATCGATTTCTCCGCAAAAATTAACCAAAAAATCCCCTTTTAGATCATCGCTCTGCTGGCTGAGGCGCACGGATCTTCAGGAATTCGGTGTCTACAACCTGACCCTGCTGGAAAATGGAACCTGCTCCTTTGCCACCGACAAACCGGGCGTTCCCATCAATTACGGTGAGTGGTGATCGTCAAAGTGCCCCCATAAGTGGCACTCCACAACGGATTACTTATCGCCGGCTATACTCTCTCGATTCCATAACACTCGCAACAGCTTTCCTGGCCGTATTCGTTCTGGTTGCCGCGCTGCTAATCTTGCTCAAGCTCGCCAGCTGCGCCTGGAGGTGTTATCGCTACGACGAGGCCGCCGCCGCCGCCGACAGCATCGGAGCCGCTGCCACGAAGGCCACGCAAAGGAAGCGCCTGCGCAGCCTGGACACATTCCGGGGGTAAGCAGCGGTCCCATCCGGAGAAGGAGCAGGAGACTTGGCGACGAGCAGTATTTTAGTTATAACTATACGTGTATATCTTTTAATTTCCATCTGATTCCCTGGTGGAATAACTTAAACGATTTGTGGATCGATTCTCCGTCATTCTGCATCCAAATCCAGAAACAAAATATTTTTTCAAAATTTTTCCCATTTTTGTGGGCCAACCCCTTGTGAAATCCCAGATTTCCACATAGGGCCTTTTCCGTTGGGTATATCTTTGCCGATTTCTATGCGATCCTCAAGGGGAATACCTTAAACGATTTGTGGATCGATTCTCCGTCATTCTGCATCCAAATCCTGACCAAAAATATTTTTTCAAAATTTTTCCCATTTTTGTGGGCAACCCCTTGTGAAATCCCAGATTTCCACATAGGGCCTCTTCCGATGGGTATATCTTTGCCGATTTCTATCCGATCCTCAAGCGGAATACCTTAAACGATTTGTGGATCGATTCTCCGTCATTCTGCATCCAAATCCTGACCAAAAATATTTTTTCAAAATTTTTCCCATTTTTGTGGGCCAACCCCTTGTGTAATCCCAGATTTCCACATAGGGCCTCTTCCGATGGGTATATCTTTGCCGATTTCTATCCGATCCTCAAGCGGAATACCTTAAACGATTTGTGGATCGATTCACCGTCATTCTGCATCCAAATCCTGCAACAAAATATTTTTTCAAAATTTTTCCCATTTTTGTGGGCCAACCCCTTGTGAAATCCCCGTTTTCCATATGGGGCCTCTTCCGATGGGTATATCTTTGCCGATTTCTATCCGATCCTCAAGCGGAATACCTCAAACGATTTGTGGATCGATTCTCCGTCATTCTGCATCCAAATCCTGCAACAAAATATTTTTTCAAAGTTTTTCCCATTTTTGTGGGCCAACCCCTTGTGAAATCCCCGTTTTCCATATGGGGCCTCTTCCGATGGGTATATCTTTGCCGATTTCTATCCGATCCTCAAGCGGAATACCTTAAACGATTTGTGGATCGATTCTCCGTCATTCTGCATCCAAATCCAGAAACAAAATATTTTTTCAAAATTTTTCCCATTTTTGTGGGCCAACCCCTTGTGAAATCCCCGTTTTCCATATGGGGCCTCTTCCGATGGGTATATCTTTGACGATTTCTATCCGATCCTCAAGCGGAATACCTTAAACGATTTGTGGATCGATTCTCCGTCATTCTGCATCCAAATCCTGCAACAAAATATTTTTTCAAAATTTTTCCCATTTTTGTGGGCCAACCCCTTGTGAAATCCCCGCTTTCCATATGGGGCCTCTTCCGATGTCTATATCTTTGCCGATTTTTATCCGATCCTCAAGCGGAATACCTTAAACGATTTGTGGATCGATTCTCCGACATTCTGCATCCAAATCCTGACCAAAAATATTTTTTCAAAATTTTTCCCATTTTTGTGGGCCAACCCCTTGTGAAATCCCCGTTTTCCATATGGGGCCTCTTCCGATGGGTATATCTTTGCCGATTTCTATGCGATCCTCAAGCGGAATACCTTAAACGATTTGTGGATCGATTCTCCGTCATTCTGCATCCAAATCCTGCAACAAAATATTTTTTCAAAATTTTTCCCATTTTTGTGGGGCAACCCCTTGTGAAATCCCCGTTTTCCATATGGGGCCTCTTTCGATGGGTATATCTTTGCCGATTTCTATCCGATCCTCAAGCGGAATACCTTAAACGATTTTTGGATCGATTCTCCGTCATTCTGCATCCAAATCCTGCAACAAAATATTTTTTCAAAATTTTTCCCATTTTTGTGGGTCAACCCCTTGTGAAATCCCCGTTTTCCATATGAGGCCTCTTCCGTTGGGTATATCTCTGCCGAATTCTATCCGATCCTCAAGCGGAATACCTTAAACGATTTGTGGATCGATTCTCCGTCATCCTCCATCAAAGTTTCTAATAAAAATATGTATATCCTCTTTTTTTCAGACTCTCCATCGTGTTGATGATCTTCGTTAACAGCGGCGGCGGAGGCTACACCTGGATCGATCATGCCGCCTGGAACGGACTGCACCTGGCCGACCTGGTCTTCCCCTCCTTCCTCTGGATTATGGGCGTGTGCATTCCCCTCTCCGTGAAGGCCCAGCTCTCCAGGGGCGCCAGCAAGGGACGCATATGTCTGCGCATCCTGTGGCGTTCCATCAAGCTTTTCGCCATCGGCCTGTGCCTGAACTCGATGAGTGGCCCCAACCTGGAGGAATTGCGGATCATGGGTGTCCTTCAGCGATTCGGAGTGGCCTTCCTTGTTGTGGGAGTCCTCCACACCCTGTGCAGTCGCCGCGATCCGATCAGTCCGCAGCGATCCTGGCAAAGGGCCGTCCATGATATCTGCCTGTTTAGCGGAGAGCTGGCGGTGCTGCTGGCTCTGGTGGCCACCTACTTGGGTCTGACCTTTGGCCTGCGAGTGCCGGGCTGCCCGAAAGGATACCTCGGTCCCGGTGGCAAGTACGATTACGCCGCGAATCCCAACTGCATTGGAGGAGCAGCCGGCTATGTGGACCTCAAAGTTTTGGGAAACGCTCATATCTACCAACATCCCACTGCCAAGTATGTGTACGACTCGGCTGCCTTCGATCCTGAAGGAATTTTCGGTGGGTTTCTCATGGACTTGTTCCAGTTTATGATTAACTTTCATTATCCCTTCCGCAGGCTGCATCCTGAGCGTAGTTCAGGTGCTTCTGGGGGCCTTCGCTGGTGTCACCCTGCTGGTTCATCCCACCTGGCAGTCGCGCATCCGTCGCTGGCTTATCCTGTCGGTGGTTCTTGGCCTGATTGGCGGCGCCCTGTGCGGTTTCTCGCGAGAAGGTGGCGCCATTCCGGTGAACAAGAACCTCTGGTCGCTGTCCTTCGTCTGTGTGACCGTCAGCCTGGCTCTGATTATCCTGTCGCTGCTGTACTACTTCATCGACGTCCGCCAGACGTGGAACTGGTCGGGTTATCCCTTCACCGAGTGCGGCATGAACGCCATTGTGATGTATGTGGGGCACTCGGTGATGCATCGGATGCTACCCTGGCACTGGAGGATCGGGGCGATGAATACGCACTTCATGCTGCTGCTGGAGTGCACTTGGAACACCCTGGTCTGGGTGGGCATAGCCCTCTACTTGGACTCCAAGGAGTTCTACTACAGCCTCTAGATGCCTCTGCACAAAAATGCCGATTTGCCAAATACGTTAACGCTTTTATCATAAAAGTGATTCCAATTATTGGATATTATAATTATGTTTTTTTTTTTTATTTTTTATTTTTTACCAAGCACAAGACCATAAAGAAACGTGTCGTATTATTTGTATAATTCCGAATTTTTTTGGTTGTAAGAAAATTGAATAATTATGACTTTGAAATAAATATCTTAAAAATTAAAATTAAAAAAATACCGGGTATATATCGCAAACATCGGATATAGATGGACGATCCTTGTGAGAATATCATAAAAAAACCAATTAATTAAAAAAAAGATTACGAATTTTTCAAAAGCTTTCAAGTATTTAATTTTAATAATTAAGCAATTATTTTAATCTTGGAAACATACACAAAAATACATATTTTAATTTAATCAAAAGCATAATATTTTAAAGTCAAGCATTTGGGTTCCAAAAAAATGATTTAAAATTGGCAAATGAAATTATGCACATGGGTATGACAAAAATCATAATCCATGTGTTTGCGGTCGAACAGGGTGACACAATGTTGTCCAGTTCCTTCCCCATTGTTGGGTTCTTTGGGTGCCCACTTAAAAAAGGTACCATTTCTTCCAGTAGCTGAAGAGACAAACACGCCTTCCTTTTCAAGATCATTGTAGCCAATCCAGTAAATCTTATCTTCAATAACTTTGGTGATAGCAGTAAGTTCCTCTTCGCTTTCGATGTCTGCGAGGTTTCCCTTCATCTTTTTACAATGGCTAGAAGCTTCATCCCAAGTCATGGCAAGATTATTCTCTATGTAAAAGGATCTGGAGCCAATCCTTGTGAAACCGGGCAAGTGTATTTTAAGAAGGAGTTTCTGAAGGAAATCGAGCTGGGCCCGAACATCCTGGAGACCTGCCTCAAAACCAGCCTGCCCCTCTTGCAATTTTTCCATTTGGCTCTCGGTCTGGTTTAGTTTTTCCAAAAGGACTTCCTGTTGGGTTTGGAGCTGAGTCCCAAGTCCATGTGATTCGTTGAATTCGCAAGCCTGGAAGCTTTTACATTTTTTCTCGTATAGTTCTATGTAATCCAGAATATGTAGGTGAAGATCTCGTCTGTCTAACTGACATTGAGATTCCAAAACAGATTCCGAAAAGGAAAAGATATTAAATAGAATTGTCGCGAATACTAGATGGAATATAAACTTCAACATTTTTCTTAATTCGACGATCGATGGGCACTGAACTAAATTCACTGAGAAGTTTATTTTATAAGGTTCTGGATGACCTGTTTTGGAAGCTCATACTAACAAAAAAAACCCACAGATTAGCTTCTCAAAACTAGAACATAATTCTTTAGAAAATTATTTAGTTTTCTTTAGAAAACTAAATTTTAATGTTTAACTAACATGAAATAATAGCCGATATTGATATACCCTTGCAGTTAAGATCTGAAATATATCGCAAACATCGGATATAGTTGGCCGATCCTATAAAAAATTTCATTAAAAAACAATTTATTAAAATACAAAATTGTAGTTAAGTCTCCTCTACTGCATTGCACAATATTAGCCATAATTATAATACCCTTTGTAAGGGTATAACAACCCATATACGACATTCGGTTCCGTTATCCGGTGCTTATATTTGCGGTTCCCGGAATCAAATTCCCGGAGTCCACCCGACTCTGTTACTACGAGAACTAGGCCGAGAACTATATATGTAGAATAAGCTGCCATATAACTGATTTATCGGAAATGGTATAACTTTGGTGTTTCAAGAGTTAGAGAGTTCAGATTTTGCCTGAGAGCTATTTTTGGTAAAATAATACGACATACCAAATTTCAGTCAAATCGACTATATCCTATAGCTCCCATATAACTGAACGATCGGAAATGACCCAACTTTCGTTTTTTTGAAGATACATAGCTGGAACTTAGTACAGATTCTATTTTTAGTCAATTGATCCAACCTACCAAATTTCATTAGAATCGGCCGACTAAATCTTATAGCTGCCATATAACGGAACGAGCTTTCCCAGTAAATCCCAGATTTTATAGTACTTTTAAGCTAAGATTTGATTTGAAACAAATCTCATACATTAAACAATAAAAAATTGTTTAAGTTATGTACAAAATATAGAAAATTGCATTTGAAATGATATGTTTAAGCAAATGGTATGATTAAGGTTTACCAAAAAAAACATCTAAAATACTGAAAAACTCCCGATGGATGAAGAACTGTACTTTAATGAAATAATTCATTAATTTTAATATATTTTCTTTGTTTTCCCGATCTCTATCATTTAATAATCAGAAAACCACTTATTTATTTTCCAAATTTATAGATCTTCAGATCTCACGGTATTTTCCAGCTACAATTTCCCAAAAAAGCTACAAAAAATACCAGAAAAATGCAAATGTCATAACTGTACTTGTATAAAATAATTTATTTATTTTAAATAAACTATTGTTTTTGCAGATTTTATTCCATCTATTAAACAATTTAAAAATCATTTATTTATTTTGAATATTTTGAATAATGCCATTTGAAATAGTATTTTTATGTAAAAAAAACATTTCAGATGAAAGGAGCACTGTACTTTAATGAAATAATGTATTACTTTTAATATATTTTCTTTGTTTTCCCGATCTCCACAATAAAATAATCAGAAAACCACTTTATGTATTTATTTTCCAAATTTATAGATCTCACGGTATTTTCCAGCTAAAATTTCCCAAAAAAGCACCAAAAAATACCAAAAAAGTCTGACAAGTCAGGACATGCAAGGAAAGGCATGTACTTGTTTAAAATATTCCATTTCTTTTGCAGATCTCATCCCAATCCATCAAATAAATAACAAACCATTTATGTATTTTCAAAATTTTAATTTTATTTAAGTTTAAAAAACATTGCTCTTTCAACACACAATTAAGGGGCATTTTTTTTGTTTTAGGCATTCCTAAGGCTACAATTTGTATTTCCTCCTTTTTTTTTAATGTATTTTTTGTATTTTGTAATATATGTATATATATTTTTTGTGGAAGGCTTCTTCGTCGCTCCCCCTTATTTTCTACATAATTTTGTTGTTGTTGTTGTTGTTTTTTTGGCGCGATCTCTTACAAGTCCAGCTCTGTGGCTTCTGGAGGGAAGAGCGGGCTTTGTGATTTCAACTACAGACTACTAGGGCACTGCACTACTACACGTCCAACTATAAACTATATGATTTGAAACGTTTTTAAAAATGCTCTTTATCTTTTTTTTTTGTGTTTTATGGGAGTTATCCTGCTCAACATGGTAATGTTTGTATATATATTATCTCGATGGTGTTTGGAAAAGGAGGAGGAGGGGGGATATAGGATAAAAAATGCTTAAGTGACTACAACTAGACAAAAACAAGTCAATTGAGCTCTGGCTTACATCGTATTTACATAATCTATAATATGTCTAATCGCTACAGTAAGGTTTTCAAGTTTGTTTTTTTTTTTATGTTTTGTTTTTTTAAATATTACAATTAAAAAATGATATGGAGCTGCTGTGGCTGAGTATTCTTACAAATTAACGTCGTTTTTGTAGGAAATTTAAAAAAAAAATTTAACCAAAAAATGGATAAAATATAAAATTGCGTTATTTATGTACAATTTTTTGTTTGTTTCTTCTTTTTAGAATAAATTATTTGGGAGCCAAAAACGTTGATGTAAAAAAAAAAAAACTGAATATATATATAAACAAATAAAAAAAAAATATAAAATATTTTTAAGGACTGGCTTAAATAAGGTTTGCGTAAAATATATAAATCAACAAAACGTAACAGGGTGACCGACCGACCATTCTTCGATTTTGAATTTTTTTTTAAATTTTATTTTTTGAGATGCTTGGCTTCTCTTTCTCTTTCTAGCTCCATCGCCCTATCTCTTTCTAATTAGAACCACCAGTTTATGCAATTTTAGCTTCTGGCGGCGGTGGCGGTGGCACCGTCGTTATTTTTGCCGGCTTCAGGAGTATAAACTTGGGATTACCCAAGCTGGCCACCTTCTTGCCAACGGTGGATGGCGTTATGGTCACCGTACTGGGTGCAATGGCATTCATGGCGGCTGTCTGATTGCTGGCTGCCAGCGATGATGCCGGCAGTATGGTGGTCACCCCGTTCTCGTGCTGAATGCTATTGGCGCTATTAAATATTGCACGCATTTTATTGCTATTCCCCTGAGATCCGCCAAGGACATTGATTTTGAGAGCTGTTCCGGTCGCTGGGTGGCCAGTGGTGGCCGTGATGGTGGCATCACCGGGCGTCACCTGCTGCCTCTGCTGGACGATACGGGCCGTGAACTCATTCCCAGCCAGCACCAGATTCTGGGCCTGGCCCGAAATGGGCAGACCACTGGCCAGAATCAGTTGCATGCCACCTCCAGTTGCTCCGCGCAGCTTCCATTCCTCCGTTGGAGGGCTGACAGACTTGCGCTCGAGGACATGCTCATCGAATCCCGAGTCCGATGAGTTGTCATTGAATTTGGTGGCCACCGAGGACGATGTGGAGCAGTTCGAGTTGGAGGACAGGGACGAGGGCGAGGCAGCACCCACGGATACAACGCCCACCGCCGATCCAGCCGATGGCAACGTACCGGTCGCTGGCGTTGCGGTCGTCGTTGTCGACTTCAGCACCAGCGACAGATTGGAGGAATGTGGCTTCGGTGGTGGTGCTTCGTTATTCGCTTCAGTCTTGCTCAATGGAATTGGACTTATTCTATGGATATCACCCTGTGGAAATGACTCCGATTGTCGCTTGAAGAACAAATGGTGTTTCTTGAGTGGCCCAGTAACCTTGGGCGTCGGCTGCTTTTGGCTTTGAACTTGCAGCTGTGTAGCTGGGATGGGTGTTTCGGATTCGGATGCGGATGCGGATGCTTCCTGATTCTGATGTTGAAGCTGTAGCTGCAACTGTTGCTGCCGCAGACGTTGGTGCTTCTCGCACGGCTTGTACAGCTCCGGATCGATGATGTAGCAGGCGCTGCCGAGGGACAGGCTCTGGAAGACCACACCGCAGCAGACCTCGAGGCGCACCAGGTCGCTCTCCTCGAAGAAGGGCACAGTGTCGACGGCGCGACGATTCTTTTGCGGCGCCAGTTGGCGGCGTCGCTTGCTTCCCGTTAGCTTGGGTCGCTTCATGACCTTTGGCTCGTCCCCGGCCGAAGCCAGAGCCGCATTGGCCGCCGTTCGCTTACGTGTTTGATACGGAGCCGTGCCAGAGACACCTCCGGACATCAACTCGTCGTCGTAGCTCTCGTTCGAGTCGCTGGGATGGTGCTCGGAAGTGGGGGAAGTGCTGCTGGGACGCTGGCTAATGGAACTGGAAACTACTGTCGAGGATGCTTCGACTCCCGATCCTCCTGCTGGCTGGTTCTTGCCCTTGCGGTTCTTCTTGAAGATTTTGGCAAACTTCTCCGGCAGAAATGAGCTTGACGAACCAGCAGAGCCCCGGCCCTCGCCATCGGCGTTGTCGCCGCGTTTCTTTTGCTTGGCCAGGGACTTGGTACCAGGACCAGCTCGAGCATCTACCACCTGAAAGGAGGAGAACCAATAGAGGGATATTAGTTGGTGAGTAAGAAGACACTTTATGTTTTGTGAGTACTTACATGACCCCAGTGGCGTTTGCTGCCAGCCGGCAGTCGCTTATAGCGCTTGACCAGCAAAACGCAGGCGTTACATATCTCGCCGTTGCGCGGCTCATGGAGATTGAAGCACTGCATCGATTCCTTTTCATATTTACGGGAGGCGGTGAACCGGGAGCTGCTCGACTTGGCGCGGCAGATGCAGCACCCGTCGGCGGAGCGGTAGACGCGCGGCTTGTGAAAGTTAAACATGGCCAGAGAATTGAGATTTTTTTTTGGTTTTTTTTTTCGGCAAGTTCTACGATTGATATTCTCACTGATATTGTTTACTTGATATTTCTTTTTTGAGAGTTTACTGTGTTTTTGTTTTTTTTTGTGCGTTTTTAATTGTTGACTTGAATTTCGATATTTTTTGCAACTTTTTGAATGGAAAAAAAAAACAAAGCGTGTAAAAATGCGGTGTGCTGCTGTTCTGTGTTTACTGTGGTTGTGCTAGTGTTATTTGTGCGCTGCGGCCATTCCGTTCGTTACATTCGCACTGATCCAAAACGTCCATTGCCCGGGCTTCACTGTATTTGGCTGCATTTGTGACGGCGGCGTCTGCGTCGTCTGGCTGCAATGAAAAATTGAGAGCAAGAGGAAGAGTGTTTGTTAGCAACTGTTAGCGAACAGATGATTTGGCGGATAGTGTTGGTAAACTCCTAACAGTGACTCTGTTATCACAAAACTATCTGGTAAATAAATATAAAAACCTAATTTTATTCGCTTTTAGGCTTTTTTTAATATCTTAAATTCTTTTATATATTTTTTCTTTAACAAAACTGGCAACTCCATTATTGCAACATTAAATGTAATTTGTTTGTTAGCATCTGTTAGAGAACAGATGATTTGGCTGTTAGTGTTGGTAAACTTCCAACAGCAGCTCTGTTATTCCCAAATCTAACTAGTAAATAAATAAATTCAAAAACTATTATTCTTTAACTAGATAATGCTTTTAGATGAACTTTTATAAAATGTTTTTTCTATATATGCACTTTTTGTTTTAGAATACTGGCTACTCTGTTATTGCAACATGAAATTCAATTTGTTTGACGAGAAAAAGGGAGCAAACAACAACAACTAGAGCGGTGGCAACCAGTTCGACATTTTGAATTTTTCGCCACTTTGAGCCGCACCACTCTTCGAACGCTCCAAATATCTTATCAAAATGCGAGCAAGTGGTTTATTTCAAGCAAACATGTTTTTAAATTAAAACCAAAAAAAACACCAAGCATAACAACAAAGAAACGAGAAAGGAAAGAGGAAGAAGCCACGCGCGCTTCACAAAACACTCACACACACATACACATACATATTTTAATGCAACTTTTTATTTTTTTTTATTTGAATTATTTGTCTTGTTGTTGTTGTAAGCATTCACCCTTGCAACAACAATAACCATGAAAGAGAGACGTGACTTTTGAAGCTGCTTCTCCGTCCCACTTCCAGGTGCATCATTCCAGGTGTTGCTATTTCGTTTCTTTTTTTTTTTTTTTTTTTTTTGGGACACTGATTTTTGAGTTGAAACTGTATGCTGTATGTATCTGTGTGTCTTTTGGCACCGGCTGTGTGTTAATTCTTTAAATTAAACTAAATTGAAGGTGAAAACAGCCCTAAACAGGTTACCAGGCGTCTTGTTTTAACTACTATTATTAACACAGCTGGTAGTTGCCACGATATCAGCTATAATTTACCTTCTTATATTTGAAAATATTTATTTTGTTGGGAAATATAGAAAACACTTTGTTTTTTAAATTGTATTCGATTTAATTTTAATTATTTTTTTGTAAAAAAAGCCAACGAAAGCGGAGCTCGAGGAAAACGCGTCTGCACGCAAGAAACACAAAAAAAACTGACGACTGACGAAAAATCGACGCATGTACGAAAAGGTGTACAAAGCAATGCAGTGATAACGCAGCGGCGAGCAGCTGAGCGAGTGGGGTGGTGCGTGTGTGTACGTGAGAATGCGCCGACCAAAAGAAACAAGCGAAAAATTCCGGTTTTTAAATAACATTCGAATCCGAATCTGAATCCGAATGAATGCAAATTGTGAAAACGAGACAAAAAAAAAAGAAATACGCTCTGGTTCTGCTTTTGTTGATATTCTCTTTGTTTTCAACTGATAATAAATAAATAAAAATACAAAAAATACAAAAAAAACAAACCGCAGAAACGTGCAGCGTCCCGATAAAGCAATAACCGTTGTTGCACAGCTGCTCGGTCGCTTTTCATAGCTAATTATAGAATTATTATTATCCACCGATACCCACTGTTTCGTCCCCTCCAACAGCCCCCTGCCTCCATGCCTCAGACCACCCCCATCCACCATTTTTCATCAGCGCGTCATACGTGACGAACAAGACGTAATGCGAAAAACAGTGACATTAGATGGAAAAAATTGATTCCCAGTTCGGATGAATGGATGTCACTCTTGGAAAGCATAAGAAATTTATATTTTTCCACGAATATCAACTGACCTTTTTGTTTTTAAGTTGAAATTGATTAAAAATAGTGAATAAAAACATTGAGAGACACTTAACATAGGTCACTTTGCCTGGTTGCGATGGCAACTCTGCCAGCTGGCTGGACATGTATGTACATTTTACAACACTGCTTCATACAGCGGCTGTTGTTTTTGTTGTTGCGACTGTTAAGTGCATTCTGCTTCTCCTTCTTCTGCCTCTTCTTCTTCTTTTAGCTTCGGCGAAAGTGGCCGAAAAAAAAGAGACAAAATATCCAGGTACAACATGATTCGCCTTCATATAGGTATACATAGGTGTATATGTAGGTGTGAGCGATGTGCCGAAAAAAAAGCCCCGAAAACTTCAAAAACTAGGTCGTTTTGTTTGTTGTTGCAGAAACGCAATTGCAAGCTTTGCACACATACATACATATGCGTGCAAGTGTGTGTGTGACGACGCCTGCGGCTATTGCTTCTTCTTCTTCTTCAGCAGCAGCTCCAGCTTGCAAAATAAACTGTACTTTTGCGAAATTTGAGCACGAAAAGGCAACAAAAACAAAACGGAGAACACTGTGGGCGAAGATCTAATAGTTTTTTTCTCACAAAACGTTCAATAGACACCTGACCTTGTTTTTCTTAGCCTTATTTAGGTGCCTACAAAACGGAAAGTGAAAGACTCTGATTGGAATTCTTATAAGAATGTGGAAACAGGTTGCCGAAATAACGGTACCAGCATACACACACACCTGAAGCGTAATAACAAAAACAATAAACACAGCCGGTCGGCCCAAATCACAAAAAAAGAAAGTAAAGCCCAAAAAAAAAAAACTTAATTTTTTTTTTTGTTATGCCTTGCTCCCTCGCTCTCATTCGCTCACCTGCTGGCGCGAGACTGAGACGGGGCAAGGTAGAGGGGGGCTATGTTAAGTAATAGATTACAGGTGACTGTGTGTGTGTGTGTGTGTGTGTGTGTGTGTAGGGGCGAGAGTGTGTTTGTAAATGCAAGCGAGTATTTTTGCAGAGAAAGCGCGCGCAAAAATGAGTAAAAAAAACAAGGAAAACGATTGTTTTATTGCAGTTTTTTTTTCTGTTTTTTATATTTCCGCACAATTACGGGGCTACTCTCGAAACGAGGTTGAATTTCGGTTTCTTTTTTTTTCACCCAACTTTGGCATTGGCAGAGTTCATCAAGCGGTTTGGTTGTATCTGCTACTGATAGATACAGATACTTTTGATTAGCGAAGGTCAACAACAAACTGTTAAAACCATAGCACACACAGATACGCACTCACACTCACGCACACAGTCGAACGCTCAAATATTCTGCGGCAACTTGTTGTTCTGAGTTTCTTTTTTTTTTAAGATTTCCAGACTCTAACAATTTTTGTTTTGTTCTTTAGCTTTTTATTCAATTATTTACCTTTGTATCTTTTGTTTTTTGAATTTTTCTGGCACACTGTATCTGTATCTTGTTCCTGTATCTTTTTTCACTTGCGTTCACTTCTGTTTTGCTCAAGATTTTTTTTTCGCGACGGCGCAGGGCTGTCGAGTTCTACAAAATTGTCGATATATATTTTGCGCGATGGAAATTTTTGAAATATAAGGAAGGAGAGCAGTTGGTTTTTGGTTTGTTGGTTTTGAATGAGTTTTTTAAACTGAATACATAAACTAGGTAAGGTAGTTAACAAAGTTTTAATTAAATATTTTAGTTGGCTACTCTAACCGATAGTTTACAGGGTGCACTAAGCATTCAAAAGCCGGTAAGGATGGAGAGGCAAAGAAAAGACAGAAAGAAGTACAAAAAGAGGGGAATAATGACTGAAAACAACTTTTAATCTAAAAAATAAACATGAATAAATAATATTTCAGTTTTTCTGAAGTACAAAACCGGGCGAACCGGTAACTGAAAAAAGAAAGTGATTGGATCAGTGGGACCAGCTTAAATTTATTCAAAATTATTTAAAAACAAAAGTCTTCCTTTTCTAAAAGTTATAAAAAATAATAGTATATTCATAGACTTTTCTTAGTTTTACATTATTTTTTCATAAACTCTCTGCCATTATTCACATATTGGTAGTTTCTTAATGTATTTGCAAAAATGTTGCTCATCTTTCTTAACATATTTGCTAAAAACCTAGCTCTAGTAAATATTTGCAACAGTTTCTTCTGAATAAATTAAGAATTAGCCAAAATTACCTTTAAAAAGAATGTTATTTCTTTTTATGAGCTATTTTCAACCAAAAAGTACCATAAACTATCATCTCTAAAAGATGTGTTATCGAAATTCGATAGAAAAAAAATACTATTTCAGGGAGAGGAAAATACCGAAATTTCGATATAAATAAAGGTTTTCGCCGTCCCTGGTTGGTAGTTGTTTTTGTTATTTTTTTTTAATTAAAACGGAAAGGTGCTCGGACGCGTCAATGCAGAGATACCGAACTGAAGCCATCGGACGGGCATCGTGTTTTTCTCCGTGTGCGTGGTGCGCGCAGATTAAACAACAAACAAATTATCTGGCTATACGAGAGTCGTAGGCTCGATCCAGGAAATCCAAAAAAAATCCAACGGATTCCATCTATTTTTGTGAAAAAAAATAAAATGTCAGTTGCGAGTAACAAGTGAACGAATCTTTTATATTTATTTTCATTTTTTGTGTGTGTGTTTTTTTTTATGTTTACGCGCTGTTGCACCGAAAATCTGATTTAAAGTTTTTCTCTTATTTTTGTATCTTTTTTTTTTATTTTTTGACTGAAACGTGACCAGTTTAATTAATTGGTGCAGCAGAACAACAATAACAAGTGAATTGTATTTTCTTTCTTTTTTTTCTTTTTTTTTTGGGCAGCCGATGACGTCGCTTACGCCGACGCAGAACGCCAACGCCTCAGTCGCTGTTGCGCCGCCGCACTTTGTATCTCAGAGATACATGTGTCTGTATGTGTCAGCATAAGTGTGTGTGTGTGTGTGTATTTGTGTGTATCTGTGTGCGTAAAAATGCGTGCAATTAACATTTAATGCAATCACCATAAGCCGACCCCCTCCTCCCCCTCCTCCCCCTCCGCAAATGCAAAATAAAATGCCAAAAAAAACTTAAACTAAAAACAAGTGCAAAAACAACAAAAACAAAAACAAAAATAGTAGCGGTAGCCACAACAATTGTCTGGTAATTGCTGATATTTCGTAATGCAGCAACAAAAACAACGGTAGCAGCAAACACTGTAACGTTACAGTCATCATTCGATAACAATGACAAATTCTCCATTATTTTGTGTTTTTTTTGAAAAACAATTACTATTTCGTTTGCAATTTTTTTTGGAATTCAGAACCTTTGTCTGTTTTTGGGATAATTACTTTTCGGTTTTGCCCATTTAATGGTTAGTCACTGTAATTGTTGTAAAGAGCCGTTACACTCGGTGCTGGAGCGTGAGTGTGTCTGGGTGTGAGTGTGCCGACCTGCATTGCCAGGCAGGCCTGCCTGCCTGCCTGTTTCTGTTTCACTTACACACACACAGACACAGAAGAGACACAAAAAGATAACGCACTTACACATACTTACAGGCATTAGTGCGTATGTACATCTCACCTCCTGCTCCCACCAACAGGTTACTAGGAATTTTATTTTAAGAATTTCAATTTTTAAAAGATAGTTTTAAAAGATATTTTTGTTAAAAAATAAATCTTTAAAGTTTTTTTTTTTTGGAGGCTCGACTTGGCTTTCCACCTGCAGAGAGTCAGGCGCTTTCGCTTCTCCGGCATGTGCGTGTTTGCATTTGTGTGTGTGTGTGTGTGTGAGCTGGTCTTGGTATTAGTGCTAGTGACAGTGCCGTTACAAATTTTCGAGTCTGCCCATAAAACATTTTTCAAGCGATCGCCGCCGGTTCGAAATTAAAAAAAAAAATATAAAATTATGAAATTATCTTTAATTTTAAATAAAATTTTTCTTAAATATTTATTCATTAGAGAGGATCATCCGCTGTAAACAAGTGCAATATTTGAATTAAGTGATAGAAAGTGCTGCAAAAAAAAACAACATCTTAAAATTATATATAATATATATATATATATTTTTAAATAAAATCGATGATCATGTTTTAAAAAAAAAACAAAAAAAAAATACAACCTTCGACGCACGAACCATCAACGAGTTATTACTGTACTTCGGTGGTACAAGAAGAACAAGAACCAGGAGGAGAAGAAGAGGATAGAAACATGGCCTGCGCCAGGCAGCAACAACAACAACAACAACAACACATGCAACAGCAAAACAACAATCGACAATTACAGTTGCAGCAAAAACAACAAAAACAAACACACGGACGCAAGAGGCGGCGACAATGGGCGTGGCAGTGGCCATGGCAGCAACAATTACAAAAATACAGTCTGCTTGTTGTTGTTGCCATTTTGACAATATTCTCGCCACAGGTGAGTTAACCTCCCCACCCCCCTTAGATAGAGATAGAGATATGCTTTTTAAACCAAATTGCAGCTTGTTTTGTGGTTTAGTTTTAAGTAGCGGCTATTAGTTAGTATTAGTGTTGGAAAATATTTGAAGGAGATTATATTTTTTATAGAAAAGGGTGCTGGGGAGAGAAATCTTTAAAGACTGTTCTTAAATCTATCTAAAAGGGGTTACTATAGTTATGGTTAAGGGTTCTATATGGGTTAACCTTAAAAGGATTTGTTTTTTAGCTAAAACTAAAGATTTACTAGTGATTTTTAAATAAATAGTTTATAGTTTATTTTCTAAATGAAGAAAGGGCTTTAAGTATAGTATATATATACCTTATAGTCCTGTACAGGATCTTATATAAAATATATATCTAATTAGGCAGATATCTATTTATAACCATAATACCCTGTTTTTAAGTCTTTCTGACTAAGTCTTGCAGGGCTTAGCTTAACAAATCCCTATTTTTAGCCACAACTAGTCACTAATTAATCATTTTTAAACCTTTAAACAACATTTGGGATAAATTATTTCTTATAGAGAGGGTTCTAGGGCTGAAACCCATTCAAGTTTGGGAAACTTTTCAACAAAAAAGTCTGCTTTTAAGTCGTTCGACCAACTTTAACAAATTCTTTACGATTTGTATACTTATTTCTTTGAAGTTCTTAAAAATCTTACTCCAAATACCTTAAAAAAGGATTAACTTTTAGTCACAAAAGGTGATTAAGGCTTAATCATTAAACAGTTAGTCTATCTGTTTTAAAGAAAGGGGTTGAGGATTAAAGATAGATTTAGTTAATCACTATTTTAAACAGTGATTTTTTAAAAGGGATTCAAATGATGACTTTTTTCAGGGTTTTTGTAAATATTTAACAGTTTCAACCCTATTTATAGGAACTTCTTACTCTTTTAAGGATTAAAACATGTTCGAAGTATCTAAAAACTACTAATTTTAAACCGAAAAATAAATACCTTATTTAGATTTGAGGTTACAATCGACAAAAATTCACTTTTTGAAACTCAAAACCCCCAGTTTTATGGTTTTTAAACCCCCACCTTGTATTAAAGTCTTAAAAATCTTGAAAATTAAACATAAAATACCGTTTACCATTCTTTTTATAATTGTTGTAAATATTTGAAATATTTAGCTTTTTAAACCCCAAAAGTCACTGTTTAAAGCTCCCAACCCCCCTGTTTTATGGTTTGAAGCCCCCCTCTATTATTAAAGTCTTTAAAAATCTTTAAGATCCACATAAAATAATATTTATACCTCAAATATTACTTTTTAAAACTCCCAACCTTATCTTTTTGAACTCCCTGCATATTTTGAAAAGTATCTTCATAAAGTCCTCTTTAAAAATCTTAAATATCATACTTAAAATACCAATAATATATTATTATATATATTTTATAAATATATTTATTTAAAACCCCAAGAATCTTCTATTGATCCAACTTATCTAACTTATCCCTATCCAACCCTATCTATAGAAACCCCACCTTACTAAATAAAATATTTAAATTCTCTTTTAAAAATCTCCCTTAAAAAAATCCCTAATAACACCTTTAAATACATTTACTTTGTTACCCCCCATAAAACCCTCTTTATAAGGTCTTGTAACTTTTATCGCTCCCACCCCCGATTTCTTATCTCTTATTTTGGTATTCCACCTGATCTGTTCTGGGAATTATTGGAGTTCATAGCTCTATTTACCCTGAACTCTACTGGGGGTACCGGGGACTTGTTTTTGGGTTTTTTCCAAAAATTACATTTTCTTTATTTTCTTTTTTTTTTTGTCAGAAAAACTCTTTTGTTTTTTTTTTTTTTCTCATTTTTAGTTGAGGCTTTTGTGGAGAAAAACTCGTCAGACCGGTTCTAGGCGGCGTGGTTCTATTATTTTTAATATCGCCGGTTTACTAAAAAAAAATTAAAGCAATTATCGAAGCTAACTAAGCCAACTAGTCACTAAGCTAATTACTGAAATTAAGCCACAAATCTTGTGCTCTCGATAACTAAAAGGAAAGTTAGTATTAAGTTTTGGAAATATTTATCTTTTGTTGAATGATTTGTGGGCCTATTCTGGTGATTCCTCTTTTTATTTTTTATTGACTTTTTGTTTATTTTGTTTGTTTTTTAGTCGTTTTTAGTTGTTGTTGTTTTTTAAGGTTTACAAAACTCGTTTCGTTTTGCATTGTTGTCGCATTGTTAAGCAAAAAATTAAAAAAAAAAAGCCAAGACTATAAAAAAAAAGCGAACGTAAGTATAAACTCAAGGTTCTTTCTGAAGTCAGAGAGGTGTCATCGTAACTTTTTTCCCCCCCCCAAATAGATCTATCTAATATATAATAGTAACCTATAGAATATCTTGGGGATGGGCCTTGACTTTGGCTTTACTTTTATTTTTATTTTTTTTTATCTTGGCTCGCGGGTCATTACGTGCCGGCTTATCGCCCCAACTTGGCCGAAAGTATTCGTATTACCCGTCACCCAAAAAAAACCAACAAAAATATCTAAAAGGTAGCCGATGACATCAGCTTTGTTTTTGGGGGAGAGTGTGGGGCGTGAATGGCTCGAAAACCCCAACGGAGGGTATCAAAAGTCACTCAGCCACGTAATTCCACCATATACCTGTTACATGATTTTAAATTTCTATTTATTTTGTGGGCTTACCAACTTACCAACTTTTTTTTTAAATAAAATATAATAGAAACCACCCTTTACTGCCTTGTAGATCTTGAGATATTGTATCTTTCGGATACCCTCCGTAGAATTCAATTAGAATGGAGGAGGAGATCAAAAACGTAATGCCGGCAATTAGGTCTTCCCTACCCCCATCCCTAACCCCAACTGTGTCAAGTGTTATGTGTTGAGAGAAATTAACCAAAAACCCAACCTCCCCCCCCTCTTTTTTTTTTAAACATAAATGGGGGCTTCCCATGCACTTTATTGCCCGTTTTTGGGTGGAAGTTTTGTTTATAATTTGTGGGGGGGAATCAATGGGGAAATAAACTTCGAGGGTTGTGGCATTGAATAATGCAACTTAATTAATTTATGTTTGAGTTTAGATTTTGGTTCTTTGTTTTTATTTTTAGTTTTTTTTTTTGGGTTGTCCTTTGTTTAGTTAATGGTTTTGGGGCTTTGGGAGTCTGAATGTGTTTAGTTTTGACTTTTAAAGCTTTTTTTTAAGCTGTTTTTTACGTTCGTTTGCGGTTTTAAGGCTTATGAAGTTATAGTTTTAAATTTATTTGGTCAAAAATGGACTTTAAAGCTTATTTTTGAGTTAAGTTATTCCTTTACATCAATTTTACGTTAATTTTTATGTTTTAAAATCCTTATAAATACCAACTTATTATTGTTTTGTAGTTATTTTGTGAACAATTAATGGTAAACCCTATTTATCATTTATATTTAAGGTTTTTTTGAGTTATTCTATTTTTTACATCAATTTTACGTTCATTTTTACGTTTGCAAATCCTTATAATTCTCAACTAGTTACAGTTTTGAAAGTTATTTTGCTACAAATATATGTTAGAGCTTACTTTTCATTTATTTCTAAGATTCTCCTTAGTTATTTTAAGTGTTTAAGGACCTTATAACTCCAAACTTGCAAACTTTTTACATTTATTTTACGTTTTAAGCTCCTTATAATTCCCAACTTACCAACTACCCAACATTTTACATATGTTTGACATTTCAAGTACCCTATAATTCCCAACTAGATATTTTTTTGAAGATTTTTCTCATTTATTCCCCAAAAATCTTTGAAAAAAGGCTCATATTTGAATTGTTTTTGCAAATTCTTTTGTTTTAATTAATCTCTACCTTGTTTTTAGTCATTTTTTTTAAGCTTTTCATCTATTTCATAGGCTGGAATTCTAATCCCTTGCCACTGGCACTGTTTCCCCCAATTTGTTTATAGAAAACGAGTAACTCCAAAGTCCAGTCCTAATTGGCATGCGGGTGGAGTCGGCTTTCGTGGGTGGATGAAATGGATCACCACACCACACCCATTGGAATGCTAGAACCTTAAACCATTTCTCTGTTAACTCTTTTTTTTTTTGCTGTTTTTTTTTTTTTATTTGCGGTTTAAAAATACAGCGACAGACAAGTGTCACTGTTTGAAGAAAACAAAGCAGCAATGGCTTGTAAATCTGGCTTATTTATTCACATCCAGAAGCATCTGTTGCTTTCTTTTTTCTTCTTCTTCTCTTACTTTTTTATTTAATTATTTTTTTTTGTTAAAAATCTTTTTTAAAAAAATGAGGAAATGAGCAAATAGAGTAACTCTCTCGTTGAGCTTTCAAGCCAAGAATAGATATAGAATTATTATAGCTATGATAACCCCTCTGCAGAGAGCACGGAGTTCATTGCATTCCCCAATAAGGGGGGGTATAGCTTACAAGATAAGTCTACTATTACCAATTAATTAAAATAATTACAGGTCCAACCCACAAAAAACTGGGCCAACTCAACCTAAACAGAAAAAGCATTAAAAACAATATAGCTAGAGCTATATACTTTCTTAAGTTAAAAACAAAATATGAGTAAAAATAAATAAAATATATGTATATACATACAATACATACAATATATATTTTAAAATATAAACGACAAAAAAATGAAGCAAAATATTCAAGCAAAAGCTGATGGCTCACCTAACTGGTTTTTTGGTTTTTTGATTTTGAATTGGATTTGTATTTCTTTTTTTTATTTTATTTTTTATTTCCATCTCCTTTACTCGCACTCGGTTGACCACAAAAATAATTAGCAAACAACCTACAGTGGTTTTTTTTTTCTTTTTTAAATCCACACACTGACACATCTTCCCCCCCTTATGAAATAAAAAAAAAAAACTCAATCTCACGCATTCCACGTTTGCGATTTCAATTTGCACTTTACTTTGATATTTTCGCACTGGCTTCATACTTTTGATTCACTTAGTGGCGACTATTATAATTTCATTGTTGTAATTAGTATCATATTATAGTATTTTTCGGTTGAATTTTGTAATTAGTAACTATCCATAGATCACAAGTAATAGTTTATGGAATATTCCTATAGTTTTCACTACAATTTCGAATATTCTATTTCCGAATAAGTGATCTCTTATCTCAAGGTCATCGTTTTGGGGGGGTTGCGGGTACATCTTTCGGTTCAAAACTTTCCCAAAATATCCCCGAAATGGCCAGAAAGCAAAAAAGTGAAAGGCACAAAAGCCAGAAATTATAACTCAAATTGTCAATCAAAGTGGCTTAACCCAGATGCAAGTAACTCTCCATTATAGAAATAATGATAGTATGTGCAAATGAATCGATATAATCGATTAAGGCGGTTGACTAATCGATGGTAGTTGCTGGTATTCGATTGCATTTACTTTTAAATTTATAATTGTGGCTGGAAAATGGTATATATTTTAATGATAAGTGTTTGTAATGGCTTTATAGGTTAGGTTTTAAGCAAGACTGAGGCAATCTTTAAGGAGAAAGGCCATACTGGCAGGCTATTTCATAGAACTGGGCACACTAATACACTGTTTTTATTGACTTTTTGGTCTAAAGGCTTTTTTTATAGCTCATTTAAGGATTTTTTAAGAATTTGGGCTATTTTTTATGAGAACAGGCACACTGGCAAGAGTTTTTTCCGGTCTGGGCACACTTAAGTTTATTTTTATTGCCTTTTTAATTAAAATAATTATATACAAGTCTTAAAAATGTCAATTTGTATTAATTTTTTTGTATTAAGAAGAGATTGAGACTAAGTGTTATAAGCCTGGGCACACTAAAAATAGATTTTTGTTCAACTGGGCACTCTAAATTATATTTTAAATAAATTGTTTCAATAAAATTGTTTTAAATGAAGAATTGAAAAGGTATTATTTAAGATTAACAAATATTTATGGCAATTTATGTAGACTTGGGCACACTCTGAAGAGTTTTAGTAAAACTGGGCACACTAAAGCTAGTTTTTAAAGAATTTCTGATGAAAAATATTTCAAAAAAGGCATAAAAAAGCCATTGTTTGAATCTTTAAAATATTTCTATCAATTTCTATAGTGCTGGGAACACTGGCAATAGTTCTTATTGAACTGGGCACACTAAAACTAGTTTTCAATGCACTTCCCATTCAAATCCCCAATTGCTATAAACTCTCTTTCCGATTAATTATTGTTGTTTTTTGAAAATATTTCCATAAGCTGCCATTCAACAGCGATTATTTGGCGTTTTAATGACGCCAGCACATCATCCTAATTATGATCATTAGTGCGATCATTTAGGCCTTAAGGTCACATTCATTTCCCCCCACACACACTTTTTTTTTGAAAAAAAAAGGTAATATTATTATCTGAAGGACAAAAACAAATAACCAATAATAATAATCAGAGGTGTTAAGAGGGAGGCGGTTGGATAGTGGTGGGATCAGTCCGATCGCTTGACTTAATTTGCCTAAAAACCAATTTAACTTCCGTTTTCACATGCAATAATGCAATAATCATCCTAGCATTGTGTGCTTTCCATTGTTGTTACTCAGCTTGCATGTCACATGCAATTATAAAATAAAAAAAAAATAACAAAAAAAAAACGTAACAACTGGAAAATAGTATTAAGAAATCATATTCAAATTGGATTTTTAGGAAAACCACCACTTCCGATCGTTCAAGTGTGATTTTTTTTCCATTTCCATTCATGGTTTCTATTTCCAATCTCATGTAATGCGATCTTCATGAAGATTATAGATTATATATATCGTATATATATTGTTTCTATATCCATGACGTCAACTTGTGTTTTTGTTGTCTAATATCCGAGTAACGATCGGAACGTGATTAGCGTCATTATCGTTTATAGATCTTCCTCTCAACCTCATAAATTCGTTAATAAACAATTAACACTTGAAGTTAAGCGATCGAGTTTATTTATATTATCGTTCGAGTACAGAGACAGATCGGAAAACCGATCTAGAGAGCATTCCTATGTAAAAGACTCTTATTGTAAACATATTCCAGCAGTGACAGTAACGGAGTGTGGATTCTTTTTCAAATACCTGAGTCCTCCGATTTCCAAAAACTATATATATATATATATATAGATTCCAAAGGCCAACCGACGATAACTGATGTCGAGGCTGCTCAGTTATGATGGTTTATATTCATTTACTGCCCAGCACGAGATGCAATCGGGTTTCATGATCATTTTTTGTTGTCATTGCCATTTCCCTGACATCTCGGGATGAAAGCTCTTATCTCTGACATGGAGAGGGGGTATACTATGGTATACTATATAGCCTGGGTTATCAGCTCTGAACGTTTGATGAGCCGATGTAGGTCAGTTATAAGACAAAGAAATGGGAGTTGATTGCTTCTCAGGGTTTGGTTTCATTATCAGAATCTATAGAGGAAGAATTTACTAATATATACCCCCCCTACCCCCTTTGCAGCTTGGCAACGCCGCCGATCTGGTGATCAACTTCCCCAATGTGAGCAGCAATGACAACGCCTTCTACAGGATCGACTACAGTCCCCCGTTTGGCTTCCCGGAGCCCAACACCACCATCCCGGCCAGCGAGATTGGCAAGCATGTCCAGTTCTCCCGCGCCCTGCCCGGCACGGAGTACAACTTCTGGCTGTACTACACGAACTCCACCCACCACGACCTCCTCAGCCACACAGTGAACATAACCACAGGTAGGTGGTGAGCTATGTTCTCCTTAAGATCCTTATTCGAATGTATGTACTTTCCAGCACCTGATCCACCGGCCAATCTGAGCGTCCAGCTGCGGTCCAGCAAGAGTGCCTTCATTACGTGGCGACCGCCGGGAAAGGGTCGGTATTCGGGCTTTCGGATCCGAGTCCTCGGACTGACGGACAAGCCCTTCGAGAAGAACTACTCGATGGAGAGCAACGAGACGTTGCAACTGTCTGCGAAGGAGCTGACACCCGGTGGCAGCTACCAGGTGCAGGCCTACTCCGTCTACCAGGGCAAGGAGTCGGTGGCGTACACCAGCCGCAACTTCACCACAAGTAAGTCGGGCCAGCGGACAGGCACCCGTAGCCCCAACCGCAGATGCAACTTCTAATCCTCGGTGATGGGCCCATAACTAACCATTAACTCTATGTTTCTTCCCAAAACCCCAAAAACTCTATTTAACTCCAAAGAGGGGTTCTATAACAGGAATCTGAGAATGACCAGAAGGTAACCCCCCCTCTAATCCTAAAAAAAAAAAATAAACTTTCAATAGAATAATATTGTTTGGTAGATGCCCCAGTGCAGTGGCTCCCAATTTCCATAAAAGTAATAATAGTTTTTAATTAATTGGAGTATCGAGATTTGTGTACCACTGTATCCGGTGTCTTGATTAATTTATTTTTTTAGTTTTAATTGTTAATTATTAATTATTATCGTTGGGTAACATTTATTGGCACTTGTTTTGAATTAATTGCTTTACAAAAAGAGCTTCAGTCACACTGATCGTTAACCATGTGGCAGTGTGACCATGCAAGTGCATCAGAATTAGTTACAGGCACACTCTTCCACTCGCCCTTCGTTTATTGTTTTTGTTCTCTGCCATTCATTCATTTAAGTATTTTTAGTAGCATTTTAGCAATTATTAGTTTATTTTTTTTTTAGTTCTTACGTAAATACAATTACCTTATCGCTAGCACCGCTCGCCACCCGGAATGCAACCGATAATTCATCAGTTTAGTGGCTTGTTTAGTAATCATTGTCTAACTCTCATCACATTTCCAATCCGTTCCTTCCCGCCACCATCGTTCCATCGCCGTTAACTCCCCAAAAACCACGAAACCACGAAACCAGAACCCAACACGCCCGGCAAGTTCATTGTGTGGTTCCGGAACGAGACGACGCTCCTGGTGCTGTGGCAGCCCCCCTATCCGGCCGGTATCTACACCCACTACAAGGTGTCCATCACCCCGGACGACGCTATCCAGAGTGTGCTGTACGTGGAGCGGGAGGGTGAGCCACCGGGACCGGCACAGGCTGCGTTCAAGGGTCTGGTGCCCGGGCGGGAGTACAACATCTCCGTCCAGACGGTGTCCGAGGATGAGACCTCGTCGGTGCCGACCACTGCCCGGTATTTGACCGTACCGGAGCGCGTCCTCAACGTCACCTTCGATGCGAATCACACGACGAGCAGCTCTTTCCGGGTGCGATGGGATCCGCCGCGCACCTTCAGTGAGTTCGACGGCTACCAGGTGTCCCTGGTCACCTCGCGCAGGATCTACAATGTGCCGCGCTCGGAGACCCCCGACTCGGTGTACTTTGACTATCCGGACGTCCTGGAACCGGGCGCCACCTACGAGGTGGTGGTGAAGACGATAGCGGACAACGTGAACTCCTGGCCAGTCTCCGGCCATGTAACCCTGAGACCTCGTCCTGTCCAGAGCCTGAGCGGCTACCTGGACGATCGGAGGAATGCGCTGCACATCTCCTGGGGGCGACCCAACAAGGGATTTCAGGACAGCTTCCGAATCAGGTGAGTCCAGGGATCACTTCGCGAGGGAAATCCACTGAGAACCCTTCTCCTTCCAGCTACCATGAGGTGGGCAACTCCTCCTCGGCATATCCCCCCCTCGAGACCAACAAGACGGAGTGCATTCTGGAGCCCCTGCTCGCCGGCCGGCAGTACGCCATCTCAGTGGTGTCCCTCTCCCGTGGCATGACCTCCAACGTCAGCCAGATCATCCGCTACACCCGCCCAGCGGCTCCAGTCATCCAGGAGCTGCGCAGCATCGATCAGGGCCTGGTGGTCAGCTGGAGCAGCGATGTGAACTCGCACCAGGATCGGTACGAGGTGCACTACCAGCGGAATGGCACCAAGGAGGAGCGCACCATCGCCACCAACGAGACGACGGTGACCATCAACTACCTGCATCCGGGCGCCAGCTACGAGGTCAAGGTCCACGCCATCAGTCATGGCACCCGCAGCGAGCTGCACTCCTACTTCCAGGCAGTCTGTGAGTTGAAAAGGATTAGGGAACTAGAGTCTAAGTCTATGATATCTTGAGGATTATGTGGGTTATCCGGTTTCTGCTTGGTTGGGTAATTTATGCCACAATCCTGACTAGAAATCGAAAGTATCTTGTCTTCATTTCTCAACAAACTCGTTTCTTTTAGTTTCTCGTACGTCATGGGTCTTAAATACTGAATTTAAATTAGTCAGTTGGACTAACTAATTCTTTGGTTTATTTTTGGAACAGTTCCCAGGCCACCGAGAAACCTCACACTCCAGACGGTGCACACCAATCTGGTGGTGCTCCACTGGCTGCCGCCGGAGGGCAGTGACTTCAGCGAGTATGTGGTCCGCTACCGGACGGATGCCTCGCCCTGGCAACGGATATCCGGCCTGCACGACAACGAGGCCAGGATCGAGGACATGCATTATGGGGAGCGGTATCTCATCCAGGTGAACACCGTCAGTTTCGGTGTGGAGAGTCCCCAGCCCCTGGAGCTGAATGTAACGATGCCGCCACAACCGGTCTCCAATGTTGTGCCGCTGGTGGACTCGCATAATCTCACCCTGGAGTGGCCGCAGCCCGACGGCCATGTCGACTTCTATACGCTCAAGTGGTGGCCCACGGATGAGCCCAACAACTGGGAGGTGAAGAACGTCAGCCATCTGGAGCAGAAGGATGGTAAGGTCATCTCTACCAGGTCCTATCCACCAAATACTCATCCCCTCCTTCCAGCCACAGCTTCTCCGAACATCCGAGTGCCCATCGAGGACCTGTCGCCAGGCCGGCAGTATCGCTTCGAAGTCCAGGCCAGTTCGAACAACATCCGCTCTGGGATCACCCATCTCTCCACGCGCACCATGCCCCTGATCCAGTCGGACGTGTTCATCGCCAATGCCGGGCAGGAGCAGGGCCAGGACGAGACCGTTACCCTCAGCTATACACCCACGCCGGCGGACAGCACACGCTTCGACATATACCGCTTCTCCATGGGCGATCCCAAGATCAAGGACAAGGAGAAGCTGGCCAACGACACGGAGCGCAAGCTGAGCTTCACGGGCCTCACTCCCGGACAGCTCTACAACGTGACGGTGTGGACGGTGAGCGGCGGCGTGGCCAGCCTGCCAGTCCAGCGACTGTATCGCCTCCATCCGCGGCCCATCAGCGACCTGAAAGCCAATCAGGTGGCGGCGCGCGAGATCACCCTGCAGTGGACAGCACCCGTCGGGGAGTACACCGACTTCGAGGTGCAGTACCTGAGCGCCGACGAGCAGGCGCCGCAGCTGCTGCAGAATGTCACCCGGAAGCCGGAGATCACGCTCCAGGGACTCCGGCCCTATCACAACTACACCTTCACGGTGGTGGTGCGGGCTGGGTCCACCTCCGCGCCGGACGGCGGCGATGCGGATCCCGCCGGCAGCACTCTGATGCGCAGCAGTGCCCCCATCTCGGCCAGCTACCAGACCCTGCCCGCTCCGCCCGGCAAGGTGGAGTACTTCCAGCCGAGCGACGTGCAGCCGGGCGAGGTGACCTTCGAGTGGCTGCTGGAGCCGGGCGAGCAGCACGGACCCATCGATTACTTCCGCATCATATGCCAGAACGTGGACGATGCCGCCGACCAGACCAGCCACGAGTTTCCGGCAAACGCCACCACCGGAAGGATCTCGGACCTTGTGCCGGGAAACCGATACATGTTCCGGATTCAGGCGAAATCCGCTCTGGGCTTCGGGGCCGAAAAGGAGTTCGTCCAGAGGATGCCCATCCTGGCGCCACCGATACCAGAGCCCACCATCACGCCCCTGGAAGTGGGGCGGACGAGCAGCACCATCGAGATCAGCTTCCGGCAGAACTACTTCTCCAATGCCCACGGCATGGTGCGATTCTACACGATCATCGTGGCGGAGGACGTGGGCAAGAATGCCTCGGGCCTGGAGATGCCCAGCTGGCAGGATGTGCAGTCCTACACCGTGTGGCTGCCGTACCAGGCTATCGAGCCCTACAACCCCTTCCTTGCCGGCAACAGCAGCGCCAGGACGATCAGTCCCGAGGCGGAAAGGTTCACAATCGGAGCGGCCAACTGCGAGAAGCACCAGACAGGCTACTGCAACGGCCCGCTGAGAGCCGGCACCACCTACCGGATCAAGGTGCGAGCCTTCACCGACGAGGACAAGTTCACGGACACGGCGTACAGCGAACCCATAGCCACGGAGCGTAGCGACACCCTTATAGTGGCCCTCACCACCGTCGCCGTCCTTCTGGTGGCTGTCGTCCTCGTGGCCTTCTACTGCCAGCACCGCTGCCAGCTGATCCGGCGGGCCTCCAAGCTGGCCCGGATGCAGGACGAGCTGGCCGCCCTGCCCGAGGGCTACGTCACCCCGAATCGTCCCGTCCACGTCAAGGACTTCGCGGAGCACTACCGCATCATGTCCGCCGACTCGGACTTTCGGTTCAGCGAGGAGTTCGAGGAACTGAAGCACGTGGGCCGGGATCAGGCCTGCAGCTTCGCCAATCTGCCCTGCAACCGTCCCAAGAACCGATTCACCAACATCCTGCCCTTCGACCATTCCCGCTTCAAGCTCCAGCCGGTGGACGACGACGATGGCTCCGACTACATCAACGCCAACTACATGCCCGGCCACAATTCGCCGCGCGAGTTCATCGTCACCCAGGGACCGTTGCACTCCACCCGCGAGGAATTCTGGCGGATGTGCTGGGAGAGCAACTCCCGGGCCATCGTCATGCTCACCCGCTGCTTCGAGAAGGGGCGGGAGAAGTGCGACCAGTACTGGCCCGTGGATCGGGTGGCCATGTTCTATGGCGACATCAAGGTCCAGCTGATCATCGACACCCATTTCCATGACTGGAGCATATCGGAGTTTATGGTTTCAAGAGTGGGTTTCGAATATTTTTTGTCTAAAAAATCTATTAAATATTAATTTTAATTTTATTTTTTAAAACTATTTTGTAGAATTGCGAATCACGAATAATGCGACACTTTCACTTTACGACATGGCCGGACTTTGGAGTTCCAGAGCCGCCGCAATCTCTGGTGAGATTCGTGCGCGCCTTCCGGGATGTCATCGGCACGGACATGCGTCCGATCATCGTCCACTGCAGTGCCGGGGTGGGGAGATCGGGCACCTTCATCGCTCTGGACCGGATACTGCAGCACATTCATAAGTCCGACTATGTGGACATATTTGGAATTGTGTTTGCCATGCGGAAAGGTAAGAAATATTTTTTTAATTTTATTTTTAATATTTTAATTAATTAATTAATTTAATATTTTTTTTAGAGCGCGTTTTTATGGTGCAAACGGAGCAGCAATATGTCTGCATCCATCAGTGCCTGCTGGCCGTTCTGGAGGGCAAGGAGCACCTCCTGGCCGATTCCCTGGAGCTTCATGCCAACGATGGCTACGAAGGTGAGTCCTTTTTTTCGTTATTCTTCCTCCGTCTCTTTCTCTCTTTCTTTTTTTTTTTTTGATTTTTATCCTAAAAATTATTTTCGGTTTAAAGTTTAATTTTTTTTCAAATATTTATTATTTCTTGGTTTCCCTCTTCATTCTTCACTTGCTGCTTACTAAAAACTAAAAAATAAACTCTTAAAAATATATATATATATTCATATATATTAATTAATTTATTTTTTAAATTATTTTCTTACGCAAGAAAGCCAAAATAAAAACTGGTTTTGGTTCGCTGGCTGAGGTTATATACATTATGATTTATTTAAAAACAAATTTTTAATTTATTTTCTTAATTTGTAACTAACCAAATAATATTTTTGAATAATTTATTTTCTTCTTTCTTTTCACATTCACACACAAAATGCATAAATCCATAAACCCACACAATTGTAAATCACACATGAAACGCTTCTCAAAAAAAAAAAAAATCATAAAATTATTATCATATCACTTACATTCCAAAAAAACACACATATATCATTCTTCAAATTTTCCAAAAAAAAAAAAACAAAAAACTGTTTTTTCGAAAAAAAAAACCAAATCCAAACAAAAAATCCCAAAAAAAAAGTGACTAAAATTTACTTAGAGCGTCCACAACAACCACAAACGAAAATGGGAACCCTCCCTATACGAGCTTCTCTGGCCAAGGCCGAGGAACTGGACCAGGATCTGCTGGATCGTGTCAGCGATAAAGATACTGCCTCGGAGGAGCTACCAAAGGAGCAGAAAATTAACAAAAATCAGGAGAACCAAGAGGCTGATCAGAATAAGAAAGAGGATGATGATGACGAGGACGACGATGACGAGGATGAGGACGAGGATGATGATCTGCAGCCATTGAATAATGAAACGACGGCCACTCTGTCATCCGCCAGCTGTAGTATCACTAGCCAGGAGCATGTCGATCAGCTGCAGTCAAGCAAAGAGCACAGTCCCGAGCTGAAGGATAAGCTTGGAGGTGCCCAGTGCCATCTGGACACTGAATCCGATGAGGATGATGACTTTAATGATGTCAGGGATGGGGCTGTGGCCGCTGAGGAGGAGCCGGAGGATGGCTGGTGGTATTGATAGAAAAAAAAAACACAAAAACAATAGCGCTTTCCTAGGTTTGTACCACACTCACTCACACACTCACACATATACAGAACAACAACAACAACAACATATACACTGCACTCAAAAAAAAACCGCCCAAAACTAAAATTAAAAAATCACCTGCAACAAATGCCTGATTGTTGCTTTTAATTTTTTTTTGTAAAATAATTGCTTTTTTTTATCATCCCAAAAAAAAAAAAAAAACTAACTGCACTGGCCGAAAAAGTAACTAACCATCCATACCATTTTTGGTTGTAGTTTAATCATTTTTTTCGTGTGTATTTATTTAATCATTGGAATGTCTATTTAAATATTTTAATTTTTTTAAAGACAATTACTAATGAAATGATTTGTGTTTTGTTTTTAGATGACGAAGGCATAGCTGAGACGGGAATCTAAAGAAGAATCTGATGAGATCCGGCTATACATATATATATATATATATATAGTACCTATAGTTATTATTATTATTATTATTTTTTTTTTAATTATTCATACAATTATTATTACAACATATATTGTACGTAAAAATCTGCCTGTGATGTGCTGGATGTGATTTGTCTACAACAACGGCATTCGGAGTGTGTTTTTGCAGTCAACAGAGTGGGCGTGGCTGCCCCCCCACATAGCAAAATTGAATGTTTTTTTTTTTTAATATACATACATTACATATATATTGGCCTGGCCTGTGCCATTATTTTTTGTACCGCTTGTTTGCCATAGAAGAGCTAGCTAGCCTGCTTCTTATTTATGTAATTTGTAGTGCCGCCAAATTAGACCAAACCAACAAGAGCGTTAGCTTAAGCTTCAGGTTCTCCCTTTATATATATCCTTTGTGTATCCTATATCCTTTCCTATCCCTCTATATATATGTTTGCTCTATTCGTGTGTATAGTAGTGCCTTTTTTTGTAAATTTGTTTCGAATTAGTTGCGTGAAAGTCGATCGATATTATGATTATGATAACTATTATTTTATAAAGATTGTGTATTATGTTTATTATTATTATTATTTAGATTTTAGCTATGTTTTAGTTGTTAGACTTTAGGCCCTGAATTAGTCAGCAAAAAAATATTTACTGTGACTGCGTTTTTAAGGTTTTCCATTTGTTGTCTGGTCGCTGCCTCGAATTATTTATACAATTTCCAATATTGTATTCATCCTTCCGTCTGGCCAGGCAGCCAACTGCAATTTAAACACAGCGTAGGTAGAGTATTTAGCATTTATTTTTAATTGTATTTAATTATATTATCTATTATTTTATTGTATTTTATTTTTTTAATAATGTGCATGTACACAAAATCAATAAATATACCTATTGTATGACGAGTATGAAACGGAAGCTATTATCCAGTTCTTTTTGGGCTTCCTTTTTGTCTAAGATATTATTTAAAATTAAAAGTTAAAAATAAAATTAAACGTGGCCTTGCAATGGCCATAACTCTGCCAATTCGTATCCGATCAGGAAATAAAGTACCATTTAGTAATCAGCGAACCCAGAAGCTACTTTCCTCATTCAAAAGATTGCTTAAAAACGATTTTAAAATTTTTCAAATTTTTTCCAGGGGTTCCCCTACAAAATTGTGGGTTTTCCTGATTTCCCCACTTTTGCTCCTTCCGATGGCCATAGCTCTGCCAATTCGTATCCGATCAGGAAATAAAGTACCATTAAGTAATCAGCGAACCCAGAAGCTACTTTCCTCATTCAAAAGACTGCTTTAAAACGATTTTAAAATTTGTCGAATTTTTTCCAGGGGTTCCCCTACAAAATTGTGGGTTTTCCTGATTTCCCCACTTTTGCTCCTTCCGATGGCCATAGCTCTGCCAATTCGTATCCGATCAGGAAATAAAGTACCATTTAGTAATCAGCGAACCCAGAAGCTACTTTCCTCATTCAAAACATTGCCTTTAAACGATTTTAAAATTTTTCGAATTTTTTCCAGGGGTTCCCCTACAAAATTGTGGGTTTTCCTGATTTCCCCACTTTTGCTCCTTCCGATGGCCATAGCTCTGCCAATTCGTATCCGATCAGGAAATAAAGTACCATTTAGTAATCAGCGAACCCAGAAGCTACTTTCCTCATTCAAAACATTACCTTTAAACGATTTTAAAATTTTTCGAATTTTTCCAGGGGTTCCCCTACAAAATTGTGGGTTTTCCTGATTTCCCCACTTTTGCTCCTTCCGATGGCCATAGCTCTGCCAATTCGTATCCGATCAGGAAATAAAGTACCATTTAGTAATCAGCGAACCCAGAAGCTACTTTCCTCATTCAAAAGACTGCTTTAAAACGATTTTAAAATTTGTCGAATTTTTTCCAGGGGTTCCCCTACAAAATTGTGGGTTTTCCTGATTTCCCCACTTTTGCTCCTTCCGATGGCCATAGCTCTGCCAATTCGTATCCGATCAGGAAATAAAGTACCATTTAGTAATCAGCGAACCCAGAAGCTACTTTCCTCATTCAAAACATTGCCTTTAAACGATTTTAAAATTTTTCGAATTTTTTCCAGGGGTTCCCCTACAAAATTGTGGGTTTTCCTGATTTCCCCACTTTTGCTCCTTCCGATGGCCATAGCTCTGCCAATTCGTATCCGATCAGGAAATAAAGTACCATTTAGTAATCAGCGAACCCAGAAGCTACTTTCCTCATTCAAAACATTGCCTTTAAACGATTTTAAAATTTTTCGAATTTTTTCCAGGGGTTCCCCTACAAAATTGTGGGTTTTCCTGATTTCCCCACTTTTGCTCCTTCCGATGGCCATAGCTCTGCCAATTCGTATCCGATCAGGAAATAAAGTACCATTTAGTAATCAGCGAACCCAGAAGCTACTTTCCTCATTCAAAACATTGCCTTTAAAAGATTTTAAAATTTTTCGAATTTTTTCCAGGGGTTCCCCTACAAAATTGTGGGTTTTCCTGATTTCCCCACTTTTGCTCCTTCCGATGGCCATAGCTCTGCCAATTCGTATCCGATCAGGAAATAAAGTACCATTTAGTAATCAGCGAACCCAGAAGCTACTTTCCTCATTCAAAACATTGCCTTTAAACGATTTTAAAATTTTTCGAATTTTTTCCAGGGGTTCCCCTACAAAATTGTGGGTTTTCCTGATTTCCCCACTTTTGCTCCTTCCGATGGCCATAGCTCTGCCAATTCGTATCCGATCAGGAAATAAAGTACCATTTAGGAATCAGCGAACCCAGAAGCTACTTTCCTCATTCAAAAGACTGCTTTAAAACGATTTTAAAATTTTTCGAATTTTTCCAGGGGTTCCCCTACAAAATTGTGGGTTTTCCTGATTTCCCCACTTTTGCTCCTTCCGATGGCCATAGCTCTGCCAATTCGTATCCGATCAGGAAATAAAGTACCATTTAGTAATCAGCGAACCCAGAAGCTACTTTCCTCATTCAAAAGACTGCTTTAAAACGATTTTAAAATTTTTCGAATTTTTTCCAGGGGTTCCCCTACAAAATTGTGGGTTTTCCTGAATTCTCCACTTTTGCTCCTTCCGATGGCCATAGCTCTGCCAATTCGTATCCGATCAGGAAATAAAGTACCATTTAGTAATCAGCGAACCCAGAAGCTACTTTCCTCATTCAAAAGACTGCTTTAAAACGATTTTAAAATTTGTCGAATTTTTTCCAGGGGTTCCCCTACAAAATTGTGGGTTTTCCTGATTTCCCCACTTTTGCTCCTTCCGATGGCCATAGCTCTGCCAATTCGTATCCGATCAGGAAATAAAGTACCATTTAGTAATCAGCGAACCCAGAAGCTACTTTCCTCATTCAAAACATTGCCTTTAAACGATTTTAAAATTTTTCGAATTTTTTCCAGGGGTTCCCCTACAAAATTGTGGGTTTTCCTGATTTCCCCACTTTTGCTCCTTCCGATGGCCATAGCTCTGCCAATTCGTATCCGATCAGGAAATAAAATACCATTTAGTAATCAGCGAACCCAGAAGCTACTTTCCTCATTCAAAACATTGCCTTTAAAAGATTTTAAAATTTTTCGAATTTTTTCCAGGGGTTCCCCTACAAAATTGTGGGTTTTCCTGATTTCCCCACTTTTGCTCCTTCCGATGGCCATAGCTCTGCCAATTCGTATCCGATCAGGAAATAAAGTACCATTTAGTAATCAGCGAACCCAGAAGCTACTTTCCTCATTCAAAAGACTGCTTTAAAACGATTTTAAAATTTTTCGAATTTTTTCCAGGGGTTCCCCTACAAAATTGTGGGTTTTCCTGATTTCCCCACTTTTGCTCCTTCCGATGGCCATAGCTCTGCCAATTCGTATCCGATCAGGAAATAAAGTACCATTTAGTAATCAGCGAACCCAGAAGCTACTTTCCTCATTCAAAAGACTGCTTTAAAACGATTTACAAAATTTTTCGAATTTTTTCCAGGGGTTCCCCTACAAAATTGTGGGTTTTCCTGATTTCCCCACTTTTGCTCCTTCCGATGGCCATAGCTCTGCCAATTCGTATCCGATCAGGAAATAAAGTACCATTTAGTAATCAGCGAACCCAGAAGCTACTTTCCTCATTCAAAAGACTGCTTTAAAACGATTTTAAAATTTTTCGAATTTTTTCCAGGGGTTCCCCTACAAAATTGTGGGTTTTCCTGATTTCCCCACTTTTGCTCCTTCCGATGGCCATAGCTCTGCCAATTCGTATCCGATCAGGAAATAAAGTACCATTTAGTAATCAGCGAACCCAGAAGCTACTTTCCTCATTCAAAAGACTGCTTTAAAACGATTTACAAAATTTTTCGAATTTTTTCCAGGGGTTCCCCTACAAAATTGTGGGTTTTCCTGAATTCTCCACTTTTGCTCCTTCCGATGGCCATAGCTCTGCCAATTCGTATCCGATCAGAAGCTACTTTCCTCATTCAAAATATTGCCTTTAAACGATTTTAAAATTTTTCGAATTTTTTCCAGGGGTTCCCCTACAAAATTGTGGGTTTTCCTGATTTCCCCACTTTTGCTCCTTCCGATGGCCATAGCTCTGCTAATTCGTATCCGATCAGGAAATAAAGTACCATGTAGTAATCAGCGAACCCAGAAGCTACTTTCCTCATTCAAAACATTGCCTTTAAACGATTTTAAAATTTTTCGAATTTTTTCCAGGGGTTCCCCTACAAAATTGTGGGTTTTCCTGATTTCCCCACTTTTGCTCCATCCGATGGTCATAGCTCTGCCAATTCGTATCCGATCAGGAAATAAAGTACCATTTAGTAATCAGCGAACCCAGAAGCTACTTTCCTCATTCAAAACATTGCCTTTAAAAGATTTTAAAATTTTTCGAATTTTTTCCAGGGGTTCCCCTACAAAATTGTGGGTTTTCCTGATTTCCCCACTTTTGCTCCTTCCAATGGCCATAGCTCTGCCAATTCGTATCCGATCAGGAAATAAAGTACCATTTAGTAATCAGCGAACCCAGAAGCTACTTTCCTCATTCAAAACATTGCCTTTAAACGATTTTAAAATTTTTCGAATTTTTTCCAGGGGTTCCCCTACAAAATTGTGGGTTTTCCTGATTTCCCCACTTTTGCTCCTTCCGATGGCCATAGCTCTGCCAATTCGTATCCGATCAGGAAATAAAGTACCATTAAGTAATCAGCGAACCCAGAAGCTACTTTCCTCATTCAAAACATTGCCTTTAAACGATTTTAAAATTTTTCGAATTTTTTCCAGGGGTTCCCCTACAAAATTGTGGGTTTTCCTGATTTCCCCACTTTTGCTCCTTCCGATGGTCATAGCTCTGCCAATTCGTATCCGATCAGGAAATAAAGTACCATTTAGTAATCAGCGAACCCAGAAACTACTTTCCTCATTCAAAACATTGCCTTTAAACGATTTTAAAATTTTTCGAATTTTTTCCAGGGGTTCCCCTACAAAATTGTGGGTTTTCCTGATTTCCCCACTTTTGATCCATCCGATGGCCATAGCTCTGCCAATACGTATCCGATCAGGAAACCATTTAGTAATCAGCGAACCCAGAAGCTACTTCCCTCATTCAAAACATTGCCTTAAAACGATTTTCAAATTTTTCGAATTTTTTCCTAGGGGTTCCCCTACAAAATTGTGGGTTTTCCTGATTTCCCCACTTTTGATCCATCCGATGGCCATAGCTCTGCCAATATGTATCCGATCAGGAAACCATTTAGTAATCAGCGAACCCAGAAGCTACTTTCCTCATTCAAAAGACTGCTTTAAAATGATTTTAAAATTTTTCGAATTTTTTCCAGGGGTTCCCCTACAAAATTGTGGGTTTTCCTGATTTCCCCACTTTTGATCCTTCCGATGGCCATAGCTCTGCCAATTCGTATCCGATCAAGAAATAAAGTA